TAGTTGAATGAAGATCCTATAAAAGGAGTCATGTTATAAGATGTGCAAGAATTGTAAATTATGACGATAGATCAAGCTAAATCAATAATAATTAATGGCAATTAAAAAAGAGTTATGGCAGCAACTAATGCAAACTAATTTTCTTCTCGATCTCATGCTATTATATAATTATTTGTTGTAAATTAACAATATTAATGCAAATTATCATTAGTTGATTTGGCAGGTAGTGAAAAAGCTAATGTAAATGAAGGTAGTAAAGGAATAAGATAAATGGAAGGAGCTAATATCAATAAAAGTTTATTAGCTTTAGGAAATTGTATAAATATGTTAGCTTGTGATTAATCAATGAAGAAATTTGTACCTTATAGAGATTCAAAATTAACTAGACTTTTAAAAGATTCATTAGGAGGAAATACTAAAACTCTTATGATAGGATGTGTATAATAAGTAGTTTAATGTCATGAAGAAAGTATTAATACTTTAAAATATGCATCCAGAGCAAGAGCTATTAAAAAAAAGATTGTTTAAAATATTAAAATTAATGATATTACAAATTGTAATTGCAATTGTAATTCAGAAAATGTAGGTTTATTATAAGCAGAGATTGAAGCATTAAAATAGGAAGTATCATTCTAATGTAATTTATTATTATTATTATTATAATAGGTTAATTAACAGAAGAAGAAATTGAAATTAGATTAAATTTAAAACAAATTGATTAATTATAATTTTAAAATAGAGAAGGTTTAGAATATTTATTATAATAAATGAATTCTGAAATGATAGATGAAGATAGATTGAAAAATGAAATTCTATAATATGAAAGAGCAATTAATGAAAATGAAAGGATTAGATAAGAATTGAATTCTTAATTATAATCTAAGAAAAAAGAAAGAACTGATCCAAAAGATATTCAAATTGAAATGCTAAAAAAAGAAATTACTTTTCTAAGAGATCAAATTAAATAAAAGGATTTAGTTATTGATTCTTTAAAAAGTGATAAGGATAATACTAAATAATCTAGACCACACACTAGTTATTAAGAAACTGATAGATCAAAAATGAATAAAGAGAATTCTATTGATATTGATGTTAGAAAAGACAGTTTATAATATTGTGGTTCATCTAAATCTATTAAATAACCTATAAATAGAGAAGAAGAATAACATCTTTAAAAATTAAATAAAGCAAGAGATAATTATAAGATTTTTAGAGCAAAAATGATTACACTTTAAGATAAAATGAATTATTACACAAAAAATGATATTCAATTGAATCAAAATTAATTAAAAGAAATTATTGATATGATGAATGAACTCTCAACTTAGAATGGTCCTGTTCTAAAATAAGATGAAGAAATGATAATCTATTTTTAATAATTCATTAAGTCTTAAACTTAGAAATCTTAATAATAAATAAATCAAAGTACATTAAATACTCAAATAAATACACCATAATAAAGGTCAAGGAGTGTAAATCCAAATCCAATTAGAGGAAAAGGAACATCTTAACATTAAAGAAAACCTTTATAACAAACTAATTAATCACCTTTGAATAGATAATTATTCAGTAATCACACAAAATAATATCAGTAATTAGTTTCAAAAGGAAAGAAGGTATAAAAATGGTTTTATTTTAGGAAAGTTGTCCCACTCCGTAGAATAAATAAAAGTTCATTTTGGAATACGTAAAGAAAATGGAAAATCCATAACCGAGGGGGAGTAATAAGTCCCCATTACAATCATTTAGCTCAGATAATTCAGATAAGTATTAATTCACTAATATAAGACCAGAGACGATATTATTAAGCGTAGTTTTGTCTAAAAAGTTCCATTTCAATCAATTTAATGATATTATATTTTACAATTATTATTGTCTCATTACAAACCCTAATATTTAAATCAATAGTATTACTAAATTATATAATATACATATAATCTATGTTTTCTTAAAAGTTTTAATTATCCAACAAATTTACTTTTATAATTTATATTTGAGATTATAAAATTGTTTCAACATTAAATAATTAAATTTAAATATGGATAATACTAAATCGATTGAGAATCAAAAAAAAGAACCATTAAGACCTTGTTGTGCTTGTCCAGATACACGAAAACTAAGAGATGAATGTATTGTTTCTTTTGGAGAAGAAAAATGTTAAAAAGAAATTGAAAATCATAAATTATGTTTGAAGAAACTTGGATTTGATTGAAAGTTGATTTAAAATTAACTAAATAATAATTCAAATTGTTTTTGAACAAACTTTAAATTAAAACATATTTTTATATTACTTCTTCTTGACTTTATTCTATATAAATTATAATATATAAATTATGAATATTTATCAATAAATTAAGACTATTGTTTGTTTTCAAATTCTCAACTATAGAGATTCTCAATATGTTTGATAAAGAATATTATCTTAAGAATTCTTTAAATATATTCATTTCTACTGGGTTTCTAAGGTTAATTTAAATAATATTGGAACTTTAAAAATCCTTAGAGATTGTTAATAAAAACTGCAATCTAATTAGTTTACCTAGTTCTCGAGAATTAAACTGAGTAATTGCTTAAGGATAAAATAATGATTTTTCAATATAAATTGATCTATTACCTTTGTTAAAAACAAAAAGATAACTTTACTATACATTCAAAAGTAGATCAAATCATAACTAATAAATGAAATACTAGTAATGAAAGAATTTATTTGAATAATTACAAACTTTTCACAAACCTTTCATAATTGGAATATCAAATTAAAACATAATTAATATTAATAATAAAATATAAATACTTGGTTGAATTTTATAATCCTTAATTAAAGAAATCAGAGAATTAAAATTAAACACGTAATATTATTTTCAATTTAATCCTTTTAAATCTGGATAGAAGATTGTTTCAATAGTCACTTTCGATATTTATCAAATAAGTAAAGAGAAGTAATAAGAAATTCATGATAAACTAAATTAATTTTAATAGAAATATTCAATAAAAAATTGAAGTTGTGAAGAATTCATAAAAAATAATGATTTTATGAGTTTAATAGTATTATTAATTTATTTTATATTATTGATTAACTATGGTAAAGAATAGCTTATATAATAGTCAAAAGTATCTGTGTCATCTACTTACACTATAGGAGAATCAATATCATCTTTAGATATAAGTCAAGAATATACAGCTGCAGGTTTATTGGATGAAACAGTGGCTTTATGGAAAGACAAAGTATCAAAGGAAAATGAACCATAAAGATTAGAAGGGCATTTTTTAGGGATTGTCGATATAAAATTTTCAAATAATGGTGAATTACTTGCAGTAAGTTCATTAGATAGTGTAATACGTATTTGGGATTTAAAGAAAAGTATAAAATCAAAAGAAATTGCATGTGATTAAATGGAGAATTGGAATATTTGTTGGTTAAAAGATTATTTATGTACTGCAGGTGAAGGAGGTAGATTGTCTATGTTTAGTATGGATCAAAATCAAGAAGAAATTCCAGTTTTTTCAGTTGAGAATTCATTTGGTTCAGCAATTACTGCTAATAATGCAAATATTGCTGTAGGAACAGATAGTGGATCATTGCATATTGTTGAAGATCCTATTGAAAAGAGAAAGCTTCATTCAAAAAAAATTCATAAAAAAATGGTGAGATCTGTAAAATTTAGTAATGATGGTTTTAAAGCTTTTACAAGTTCAGATGATGGAGATATAAAACTAATTGATTTAACTAAAATGAAAGAAATTAAAACATTTTAACATCATTATTCTGTTAATTCAATTGATGTTAATCCAATAGATGATAAATTAGTAGTTAGTTGTTCATCTGATTATAAAGTTAGATTATGGGATACATCATCTGGATAATGTATTGAATAATTTAGTCCATTTGATAAAAAAGATGATAAATTATGGGCTGTTCGTTTTAATAGAGATGGATCATTAATTGGAGTATGTTCATAATAAGGTTAATTAAGTTTCTACAGTAGAAATTGAAATTTTTTAGTAATAATAAAAGTTTTATAACCAAATGTTTATCAATATCTCTAGATATTTATTATAATAATTAACAATGAATTTTCTCAACAATGTGTCTGAAATAATTGAACAAAATCTTCCTTAAGATATATAAGAATCATTTGCAGTAATAACTACACATGTTGGAGTTCCAAAAATAATTGAGGATTGCTCCTAAATTCCTGAAATGATATAATTAAAATCTGGGTTAATGTATTCAGAATAACACAGATTAATATAATTTCATAAGATTTAACCTTAACTTTCCTTTTTATAAGGATAAGAAGATAAAAGTGCAATTTTATAAAATGATTAAATTCGAGGATTAAATTCTGAGAGAACTGAAAATAATGCAACTCTTACATCTGTCATTATGTAGTCTGGATTGTTTACACATGAAAACTTTAATCAATATGAAGGGTTTATTTTGAAAAAAACAAAAAACTTATTATAACCATTCAAATAGATATATTGTCATTTTTAGGATGGAATTTTAAGTTTTTATAAAGATTAGTAAAAATAAAAGGTTAGTTTTGTTTTGAATTTGGGTCTTTTTAATTTCTAATATTATTAGAAACAAATTGTAAATAATGATATATATGAATTTGGATTAAAATGTAAAAATGACAATAAAATATTTCAATTTAAAGGTCTAACTAATAATTAATGGTTTATTTTGATCAAGAGATTCATTGATAATGTTCGTAAGAAACCAATAGTGAAGTTTTATTTGAACCCATTTACTAAATATTATAAAAAACGATTAATAACAAATGATTAATTTAGACAAATGAGTTAAACAGGAGATATATTATTATTTCAAACAAAATCTTGCAGTTCTAAAATATAAAGATTAGTAACAAGATCAAATTATGGTATTATTATATATTAAAATAGATCATGTTGCTATGATATTAAAATATTAATCAGGTTCTATATATGTTTTAGAAGCAACTGATTAAAATGGAGTAGGAATATTTGATTGGGATTCAATGACTAATCAATTATGGTATGAATTATATTCAATGTAATAACTTTTTGTTAATTATAGGGTTGTATATCGATAACTTTAATTAATTAGAAATGTTGACTTTTTATTATAAATTGAAAAATTTGTCAAAGAAAATGTTGGTAGATAATATTAATTAAGTTTTACAAAATTATTACAAGAGAAATCTACAATTATAACTTCATAAAATTAGTAGGAGGATCCAACTTATTTTTGTTCTTAATTAATAGCAAAAATATATAAATAAATAGGATTATTAAACTAAGATAAATCTGCTAATTAATATTGGCCTGGATCCTTTTCTAATGAAAAAGATGATATTTAACTTACTGGCTGTTCTCTTTCAGATGAATATCTAATCGGATTTAATATGTGAATAAATTATTGTTGTACTTAATTAAATTTCTTTAAATTATTTAATTAATTCTATTGAATAATATAATTTTGATTGATCATTCTAATTAAATGTATTAATAAGGTTTGAATATCTATTATTATTATTAATTATATAATATTTATAAATAATCTTCTTATTATTTAATATTATCTCATATAAATTAATTGTGATTAATGTATATAAGATAATTGATAAGTAAGTATATATTATAAATATGTTAAAAATAAAGTGATTTATATAATTATCTTTATTATTTAAATTTGTATTTAAATAAAATTCATATATTGGATTACTTATTGTTTAAAATTTGTGATTAATTTTTATTAAATTTGTTTTATTTTTAATTCAGATGAAAAACACAGTAAGCAAATCAAATATGGTTTTTAACAAATCATTTGGTTAACACATCCTTATAAATTAATAGATTTTATAGATGATAGTAGATAAGGCTGCAATACGACCAACAGACATAGTATTAGAAATTGGACCAGGAACAGGTAATTTGACAGAATTGTTATTATAAAGAGCTAAATAAGTTATTTGTGTTGAAATTGATCCTCGAATGATTATAGAATTGACTAAAAGATTTAAGTATTCTTAATATTCAGATAAATTCAAATTAATTTAAGGTGATTTTTTAACAGCAGAATTACCATTTTTTGATTTATGTGTAGCAAATGTCCCTTATTAAATATCATCTCCTTTAGTTTTTAAGTTATTGGCACAAAGACCTCTTTGGAGATGTGCAGTATTAATGTTCTAATAAGAATTTGCATTTAGATTAGTTGCCAAACCTGGAAATGAATTATATTGTAGATTATCTGCAAATGTTTAAATGTTATCAAGAGTTGATCATTTGATGAAAGTTGGAAAAAATAATTTTAAACCTCCTCCTAAAGTAGAATCATCAGTTGTTAGAATAGAACCAAAGAATCCTATTCCAAATATTAATTATATTGAATGGGATGGTTTATTAAGAATTTGTTTTAATAGAAAGAATAAATAATTATCTGCCATCTTCAAAAACAAATCAGTACTTAAAACATTAGAACATAATTTTAATGTTATTGAATAAGAAGGAATAAAAGTGAATGATCCTTCTATTCATGTTAAACAATTAATTTCAACTATTATGGAAGAGGAAGATGTCAAAGGAAAAGGAAAAAAAGATAAAAAAGAGAAAAAAGATAAATAAAATTAATAAAAAGATGAAGAATCTGAATCAGATGATGATGAAGATAATAATTAATAACCAGAAAAATAATAAACTACTTAAAATCCATTTAGATAAAAAATAAATGAAATATTAAAATCTAATGATATGTTCTAAAAAAGACCAGTTAAAATGGATAATGATGATTTTCTTTAATTACTTTGTGGAATGAATGCACAAGGAATTCATTTTAAATGATAAGGTTGTTTCTGATTATTATAATTATATTGTATATTAAAATAAATTAATTAATGCTAAAATAATAAGATCAATAACAAGATGGATTTGTTAGTTTTATGTTAGAAAAAGAAGATTCTTATATAGTGAATCATAAAAATAACAATGATGATGACTATTATAAATAATTAAGTAGGTAATTTTATGGTCACAAAAATGAAGGTAAATAGTCTTATGCCTAATAAAGAAGTGAAATTAGCACCAAAAATAGATCCATCAGTATTAAAATATAAAATTGTATCTCGTACTATTAGAACAAATAATGTAGAGAGATAGAAACCTGCAATATCAACTCCTACAATAAATGAATAATTGTAATAGGTATAAGTTTATTGTAATTATTCTTTTTCCTATTATAGTAGATCTAGAAACTCTTATAGTCAAGTAAACCTTAAATCTAAAGTAGCATCTAAAATACACAAAGGAAAAGTATTCATTCTACATAAAAAATAAATAAAATTAAAAATTTGTATATGTAATAATAGCCAGCAAAATTTAATATTCCTATTCCAATTTAAAAAATTAATATTCTTGAACCTCGAACTTATCGTTAAAGAAATGAAGAATCAATAGATTAATTTAATCAAATAACTCTAAATTCATATAGAAGTACATTAAACAGCAGTACCAAAAGCATTGCAAAGCCAGATAAAAATACAGATAACTGTTATCCTATCAAATTGCAAACCTAATTACGAGAAGATAACTCAAATAATGTATTTAAAATATCATTTCGAAATAAATATTGATTATAATGAAAATGCAAATTTAACTATTTTCAATTATTATTTATTAAATAATTAATTCATATATCATCCAAATTTTCTATGAAAATTATAATCTATATTTATATCATCTAAATTTTATTAATCTTCCAAATGATTATAAATTTCAATATATATTTTAATAAACAATAGTTAATATTAATTTATTCTAAAAGAAAACAATGATTATTATCAAAAATTATGAAAACTGAGTTAAATTATCTTTAATTAACTTAATATTTTTTTTTATTTTTGTGAGTAAAATTATATTATATTAAATCACTTAGTGATTTTATTAACTTAAACAGTAAAATAATAATTTTTAAACGTAAAGTAAATTGAAAACGATATTCCTCATCCTTATAAAATAGCAAAAAGGCTGTTCATTTTTTAACCTATTATTGATTAACAATATTATAATATAAGTTAAAAAGGAATAATATAATTAATTAAAAAATAAAGAATTAAATTTTCATATAACAGCTACTCCTTATTAGAATAATAATCATACAAATATAAGTTGATTAAAAATATAATAGTATTACTGGATTATCATATGAAATTATGAAATGCAACTGTTTAGAATTGAATTTAATCATTTTTTATGAACCTCTATAACCGAAAAAGGAGAACTATCAAATTAGTATTAAGTAATTAATAAATTTGAAATAAAAAATATAAAGAAATTGTAAAATAAGAAATTCCAACCATAAATGAAATAAGAATAAAAATAATTAAAGAGAGATGATAATATTTAATATATTAGATTTTCCATTTTTTTTTTAATGAAAATAAAATAAACTTAATTTTAAAATACCTAAATATAGTGAACCAAAACTAAATATGAATAAGAATTCTTTCATATTAAATAATATTGCGCATTAATTGAGAATTAAAGGATTGTATAATTTGAAATTTTTTTCAATATTAATAAATTTGGTATGATGGCACATGCTGATTTCATAGAATTCAAGGCATCCAGATCCCATTCACAATACAAATTGAACTCTATTGATTTCGATGACTTTGCTTACAACTTAAATAAAACTATATACAATTTTTAAAAGTCATAAGAAGGAAAAACGATAGATAAAATTTCTAAATTTAGAAGGGCAAAGAGCTTCTTATAAGTAAAAAATCATGAATCAACCAATGCTATCTATTAAACGTTTAGTAGAAATGCACCTGGATTTGATGAAAATGAAACCAAAGAACTTATGGAGCTCATTCTCCAATTAGAATATTTATTCATTCTCTACCACAAATTCTATCCAGATTAAAGTAACCCAATTTTACTAACATCTTATCTAAATTGTCTAACCTACAATAAAGAAAGTATATAACTCACTATATTATAGAATATTTTGATAATTATACCAACGACATCTCGGAAACCCTCCAAATGTCAATTTTACGTAATTCTTAATAAAGAATTATTGAAGAAAAAACTGATGAAAACCTAATAAAATTTTTAGTTAATGAAATCAATAGAAGGAATAAATATAAGAAAAATATGTAACTTATCAGAAGTGATTTAAATAAATTTTAAAAACTTTAACAAAACTATGAAATTTAACGAAAAACTAAATAATTAGAACATACTAAATCTAATTTATTAGTGGCTTCATTAAAAATAACATTTTAAAATGTAATATAAAACTTAATAAATTAGGATTAAAATCATTCTGTTAATGTTCGATTTCCATTGATTGATAAAAATAAGTCTCTATGTTTAGATTTTGATAAATTACTGAAGTAAGGGGATATTCATGATCTCTTTAAATAATGGAATAATTACATAGATATAACATCTTCTCATTCAGAAATAACACTATTAATCTCAATAATATAAGATCTTTTTCAAGAAGATAGTTGGATTATTAAATCTATTGTAGAATAAATATAAGATGAATTCATCATCTCTACTTAAAAAATAGTTCTTCAAATAGGAGCATTAACATAATTCTGTCCTAAATGTTTAACTGTATATGACAGAAGTCATAAAGAAATTGCATATTTGCTATAATCCAAACTATAACAACAACTATCGAATTTTTAGATAAATGAAAATTTAAATATAGAAAAATAAGTTATGATAATGTAAAACTCATAGGAAGAGTTGTAAAAAGAAGATTAAAGACATAGTTTAGAGAATGCTCTATTATAATCAAACAATTTAAAAATGTGTTTAATACCATAAGGATTGATGAGTTAATTATTCTTCATTCATAGATATTGTGATGATGGATCTTTAGTAGAAGAAGAAGAAGATTAAGGTTAAAGTTAATGTTAATGTTAAAGTTAAGAATAAAAATAGGATTCATAATCAATAAAGTAATTAGATAATAGCTAAATTAAATTTAATCGATAATTTGTTAGATAAGCTTCTAGAAGAACAAGTCTAATAAGTTTTGGATATTCTGAAATGTAAGCAGAATATTCTAATTTCTAACCACTTAGATAAAAATTAACAGATATGAAAATTCATTCAACTGTATATATGGAAAATATGGATAAGAAGGAATGGAAAAAGATTTTTGATAAAATCAAATAAGAAAAGATGTAGAATAAAGATTTTTTAAAAACTAAATCAATTTCTTCTAATTAATCATTCGATATTAATTGTAATGATGAAAAGTTTTTGAAATAGATGAAAGTTTTCTTATAAAATCAATAAATGAGAAGACAATGAAATCTGTAAATAAAATTAAAATTAATGAAATTTTTTGTACAATTTGTAAATACATAATTAAATTTTTATTTGAATTATTTTCACAGATTCTTATGGTAATTAATTATTGTTAATCAAAAAATAGATTAATTCAATAATAATGGAATTTGATAAAAATAAGTCTAAATAAAAGAATAACAAAAAATATTAATTGATTCTTAAAATTTTATTTTATTAAATTGAGTAAACTATTTTATTCAATATATTATTATATTATCTTAAATTTTATTATAGAAGCACTTTCATTATATTTATTTAATATAATTTGAATGTAATTTAATAACATAATAGATGATGTAAATATTTAAATATAAGTTAAAATTCATTAGCAACTATTTATATTAAATTGAAATCCTATAAGCATCACATTTATTTATAAAATCCAAAAAATTTCTTCCTTATCTATTTAAAGTTGAAAAAAAATTATTAATGGAATTTGATTTGTATATTATATTTATATATTTATGAATTAATCTTCTGTCATTATAGAGGATAATAAATATCAATCTGTCTAGATAGAAGAAGAGAGAATGTTAACTGCTAAAGCATGTGACTTTAAAAAGAGTTTAATTTCCAAAAAATTTTTATAGAATTATGGTAAGGAAGAGCTAGAGGATATCAACCAATTATTTGATGAAAGACAATTAAATATATTAAATGATTTAGCAAATGATAATGGACATGACTCAGCATAAATTACAACCCATCGAGAAGAAATAAATTAAAGAATATAAACAGCCATAGAAAATGGCTTTAAAAGACATTCAGTTATGATTATAAAGAAACCTGTTGAAATTCAAAGATTTAAAATTTAGGTTTTCAAACCTGAGGATAAATTCAGAATTCTTTGGGATTTGTTCACTATGATCGTTATATTTTTTGCAATTTTAATATTACCTTTGGATATTAGTTTTACAATAGAATCTGATTTTTTTGATAATTTTAACATTGCATCAATAACAATATTTAGTTTAGACATTTTGATAAATTTTAATACTTCATATTAACAAAAAGGATAATACATTTATGATAGAAAATTAATAGCCAAAAATTATTTAATGGCTTGGTTTTGGATTGATCTATGTATTTATTATTTTTATTATTTTATAGTATCTACATTCCCATTTGATTTGATTATTAATGCTTCTGCAGAAGAAATATTACATTCAGATGAAATTGATGAAGCCTAAGTTTAAAATGTTAGAGATAAATAGTAATAATAATAATAAATAGCTAATACATTAAAATTGTTAAGAATTTTAAAATTCTTTCGTTTCATTAAAGTTGTAAGACTATTAAGAGTATTGAAATTAAAAAAAATATTTTCTAAATTAGAAGATTATGTTGATTTATCAAATTCCATGATTTCATTATACAAAGTTATAAAATTAACATTTATAATGCTTTTTGTTGCACATTGGCTTGCTTGTATTTGGCATTTTATAGCAGATTAAGAAAATATATCAGGAGATTATAATTGGTTAACAGCTTAAGGGATATAAGATAATGATTGGTATGTAAAATATATTGCATCAGTTTATTGGGCAACTGCAACAATGACAACTGTAGGTTATGGGGATATAACTCCAGTAACATCAAGTGAAAAAATATTTGGGATAGTTGTTATGTTATTAGCTTGTTGTATATTCGCTTATATAATGAACAGTATAGGTGGCATATTTGTTTCAATGGATTACAATGAAAAAATAATAAGATAAAAGATGGGTTAAGCTAATTAATTTTTAAAATCAAATGATATACCTAAAGATTTATAAGCTAGAGTACGGAAATATTTAGAATATAAATATGAGAAAGAGTCTACATAGGTTAATGAAAAAGAAGCTTTAGAAGTCTTATCTTAATCTTTGAGAGTAGAAGTATTAGCTGCAGTTAATACAGATTTGATAAATAATTCTAAAGTTTTTAAATAGAATAAATTTGAAAAGGAATTATTACTTCAATTGCCATTTGAATTAGAGGAATAGATATTTGGACCTGAAGAATGTATATTTTTGGAGGGAGATGACCCATTAGAATAAGAAAATGGTTAAAATTTAGATGAAAGATGTTTATATTTTTTAAATTAAGGTAAGGTTATGTTATGTATATAAAAAACATTTACTTGTTTAAAAATTTTAGAAAAAGGTGGTACTTTTGGAGAATTAGGTTTTTTTAGTAATAAATCTAGAAGTGCTTCAGTTTATACTTTAGATTTTGTTTATGTTTAAAAATTAAAGAAAAAGAAATTTTTAGAACTTATGAAGAGATTTTAAACACAAAATGAATATTTTTAAATGAATAAACATATTATTGAGCTAAATGATGATTTTACTCCTCTTGATTTACCATGTTTTGGTTGTTAATAAATTGATCACTTTGCTTATAAATGTCCAAAGTTACATTTTATAATTAAATATGACAGAAAATAAGAATTAATTCAAGAATTTCAATAAGCTTAGAAGGAAGTTAATAAAAATTATAAAAGGCATGATAAAATTAAATATAATTCTAGAGGTTGTTATTCACTTACAAATGAAGTTGCGAATGAAATAAAATTAGTTTATAATTCAGAAGAAAAATAAGAGGAAGATAGGTTAATTTAATTATAATAGTATTATATAAATATTTAAATATTAGACATAATGAAGAAGAACCTACATTAGCAGGTTTTGAATTTATTGAATAGTCTAAACAAATATAACATTAACAAGAAGATGAATTTGAGAGAATGAGTATTATGCATGCCTTTTTCACATAATTTAATCTAGATTACATAATTAAAGCTTATAATGAAAGAGTAGATTATATTTTAAATTAATAATAATAATAATTAAATAGAATCATAAGATCAAATTTTAAATAATTTAAATCTAATAAGAGTAAACAAAGGATAAGATCAATGTCAGCTGAAAGAGCTATTTACTTTGAAAAACTTATTGAAAAGTATGGAGGACCATCTTTATTTTTATAAAAACTACATGAGGAAGAATGAATTAATATTGTATAACTATATCACTCCTAAATATTATTATTTAAAATTAGAAAAGCTATAGATTATTTTACTTTATGGTAAAGTTATTAAAATACTTTAAAGTTTTTTTTAATTTATGGTTTTTTTAGTAAATTCTAATTATTTTTATGAAATTAAAAGATATATCTAATATAAATATTTTTTGAATAATATTCTTAACCTTTTTTAAAGAATGAGATATTAAAAAATTTAATAAAATTATGATTATATTATTAATACATTCACCATAATGAATTTGCTTCAAAAAAGTTTGGCTCATATTTATTTGGCTTTGCAAAATTTCTGATAAAATATTTTCTTAGTTCTTCCCAGCAAAATAGACACATTGAATATGGTAAACCAGGCATTCTAATAATAATAATATCATTAATTTACCCTAAATTTAAAATATCAACTGGTCTAGCACCAAACCATGTATTGACTCCAGGAATATAGACAATAAAAATAAAAATTATAGTTTCAAGGAGTACACCATAAAACATAACTACATTAATTGGAGAATAAATCAAAGACATTTTACGTTCTAAATATAAATTTTTATGTTATACATTTGCAAGAAAAGACGTTAGACCATTGAACAAGTACAACAGCAACAAAATATGAGGTTTGAGCATATTTAAGTGCAGCAGTCTTGAAACAAGCATTAGTATTAATGGGATATGAGTTGTCTTCAAGCAAGGAATCAGATCTATCAAAATATCGACAGAGTTCATCTGAATTTTTATTTTACCATTATTCAAAGGTTGGGAACCATCTATTATATTCAGCATCGTATTTTGCAAAGATATATCTTAAATCATAGTAAATAATTTCAGGATTTATCCAATTAAGTGGAGTGTTTTAGAAACCAATCTCTGAAGTATATCCATCTGTAACTTTGAGAATAGGAGCTTATTACCAATCAGGACTGTAAGGTTGAGTAGTTAAAAAGGGACTAAAATTAATAGAGTTATTTACTTATTCATATTAGGTAGGTCCCATACCCAAGTGGTAGGAGGTGGAGTATAAGGTTGCCCATTTGCTAAAGTAATAGAAGGCCATGGAATTTTTTAGTATGGGGTTTTCATGAAACTAAGAAGTAACTATGGAGGGAATCCATATTCATTCATTGTGCTAAAATAACTAAAGAAACCAGCAGAAGTGGCAATAATTCCTTATAATAAGTAAGCATGAGTGATTAATCTTAGGGATACTAAATGATCATCCTTCTTTCTGGGTTTACGAGTCATAATATCGATTTCAGCTTCTTCATAGGCAAAGGAAATAGCAGGTAATATATCAGTTCCAATACAAATAGTGAGAATAAAGGCATTGCTTAAAGGTAATGGTAATCCAATAGCAATTTCACCAACATATGGAAAGACTTCTGTGATATTTGAAGTAAGTAAATAGACTATTGTCTTTTTAAGATTGTCAAATATCTTTCTACCTTCTTCAACACCATCAACTATAGATGCAAAATCATCATTTAATAATATCATATCAGCAGCATCTTTAGTGACATCAGATCCACTAATACCCATTGAAATACCAATATCTCCTTGTTTAATTGCTGGAGAATCATTTACACCATCTCCTGTCACTCCTACTACATGTCCTATGTATTGACAGGCTCTTACTATCATAAGTTTTTATGCTGGAGATGTACGTGCAAATACAACTTAAGGTTTACTACACCAACTTTTAAGTCTTCTATCTTTCATTTCTTCAGGCACAAATTCTCCATTCTAATTTTCCTCCTCCATAGCTTATACAATCATGTCTCCGTGTATTACAATTGCAGGTGCTAATCTAAAAGCTTCGTCATAAGACATCATTGGATTCTCCTCTAATAAATCATCTACTGTCTTTCCTGTGATAATTCCTATCTATTTTGCTATTGCTCCTGCTGTTGGTGGTTGATCTCCTGTCACCATAATCACCTTTATACCTGCTGATTAACATTTTTTTATTGCTTAAGGCACTGTCTCTTTTGGTGGATCCATTAATGATAATAATCCTAAGAAAGTAAATCCTTCTAATTTAAATTTCAATGTGTCAATAGAATTCAAATTAAATTTATATCCTTTTTGAAATTCAGATCTTGGTAAATGTAGTTTTGCAAATCCCAAAACTCTTTCACCTCCTTTACCAAATGATACATTAACTGATTTGAATTTCTGTGTTATCTATTCATCTATTGGTTGATTTCTACCTTCTATTAATAAGTAACTTGAAAATGTCCATAACTTTTCTGGTGCTCCTTTTATATATACACAATAAAATGAATCCTAAGTCTCCCAATTTACAATACATAATGAGAATTTATTAGTAGAATTGAATGGCATTTTTGCTAAAGATCTATCTGATAATTCAACAAGTTATCTTCTTTATCTTGTATTTTCAATATCTTCAATTGGTTAAAAGAATTTAATTAATGCTGTTTCTGATGCATCTCCAAGAGTTGGTGTATCTAACCAATTGACAGTAGCTTTATCTTTAGCTTAAATATTAAATTTGGCTTCACTAGTTATAATTGCACAATCATGTAGATCTCTAAAGGTAGGATCATTAGAATCATATTCATATTCAGTATTCCTTCCATGTTTAAGTTTATTCAAAGCAACTCTTTTTAATCCATCATACCAAACATTTGCTACTGTCATTTTATTTTATGTCAAAGTTCCTGTTTTGTCAGAGCATATACAACTTGTTGATCCAAGAGTTTCTACAGCTTCTAAATTTTTGACTAATACTTATTTATCAGCCAATCTTTTTGCTGTAATAGCCAAAGATACTGTAATACACCCTAATAAACCTTCTGGTACATTTGCAACTATAATTCCTATTGCTTAACCTACTGCTGTATCAACAGATGCATCTTCAACCACTAATGACAAAATTAAAAATAAGATTCCTAATCCTACTGCTATACATGAGATCAATATAACAAATCTTTTTAATTCTATATTTAAAGGAGTTTCTGGAGTTTCTCCACCAGTAGCTAAATCTGCTATTTAACCCATCACAGTATTATCACCAATTTAAATTACTAAACCTTTTCCTGATCCTTCCTTACATAAAGTACCAAAAAATGCTAGATTTTTAGTTTCTAAAGGATTTTCACTTGTGAGTTCAGTTACTCTAAGTAATGGATCACATTCTCCTGTTAAAGCAGAATTGTCAACTTTCATTTCTCTTGATTAGATAATTCTAACATCAGCAGGTATTTTATCTCCCATTTTGATTTCAATTATATCTCCAGGAACAAGTTTCTCAGCTGGAACTTCTACTTTTTCACCTCCTCTAATAGCTATACATTTTTATGGAAGGAAATTCTTAAATCCTTCCATTAATGCATCAGCTTTTGCAGATTAATTGTAAGTTATTGAACCAGTTAATAAAATAATAGCTATTAGAATGATTGCTATTCATAATAAATTATATATATTTACCTAGCCATAAATTTGATTTTGCACCTAAAGCATTTGGATTAACACCATATAAAACAAAACACATAATAGATGCTATCCATAATAATATAGAAAATGGTTAAACCATTTCAAGTATCAACTTAATCCACCATGGTTTCTTTTTTTTTTCTGTCAATTTATTATCACCATATTATTAGTTTTTTGCTGCAGCTTATTCTTAAGTTAATCCATCTGTTAAAGATGTTTCATATCTAATTATTATAAATTATAATTCATTTACCTTTATGATAATGCAATCACATCAACTTTATGTTCATCCATGTTTCTATATTCTTCTCCTTTATTTTATGCTTTTTTTAATAGATCTTGTTTATTATTTGAAGGAGCATCATATTTCACAATTGTTTCATTCAAAACAATTCCTTTTTCCTTAAGTTAAAAATAACCCTTACTTTTGCTTATTAATACATTTAACTCTATCTAGATACTAATGCTGCTGCTTTCACAGAACTTTTACGAGCATCTTGATTTTATCTTAATCCCAAATCGACACTTTAACGAAGTATTTAAAATCCTGTAATGATTTATGGATTATTATTGGGAGGGAACTCTCCCTCATTCAATTGCCTATACTATGCCATAGGCTATAAATTTAATTAAAATAATATCTTAAGTCCTTCATGCCATCATACTATATATATATAGAATTTAATTGGATTATCATTTATTTAAATCAATTAATTGCTAACTAAATTATTATGAAGAAAAGAATCAAAAGATTACAAGGTTCATCTTATGTAATTTCTCTTGAGCCAGAAGACATATTGGGATAAGGATCATTTGGTAAAGTTGTGAGAGCCTATGATCTTGACAATAGGGAAGAACAATTAGTGGCTAAAATAATGGAAATAGGAACACAAAGTAAATTGGAATCATTATAACATGAACTCACAGTTTTGGAATAATTTTAAAGTGATCATTAGAACCTTGTTTAATACAAGTAATTTAATTTACGATCATCCACAGGAGGAAGAAGTTGTAATCAACCAAAGCTTGTTACATTATAATGGAATATTGCAATGGGGGAACTTTGGAAGATAAAATGAAAAATAAATTTTGGTCTGAAGCTGAAGTTATGGACTTTTTAAGTTAATTTTGTAGTGGCTATCGTGAATTGTTAATGTAAAATATTATTCATAGAGGTATTATCATTATAAATCATGAAATTAGATTTGAAACCAGCTAACATTATGATTCATGATAGATTTTATAAAATAACTGATTTTGGTCTTGCAAAAATAGTGAATACTTTAGTAGATAAACTAACAATATCATTTAAAGGCACTCCTCTTTATATGGCACCAGAAATGATACAAGAAGAAGCAACAGCTGATCCTAAAATTGATATGTGGAGTCTTGGAATAATATTATATAGGATGCTCTATAATAAATATCCTTTTTTGATTTAAAATAAAAAGTATGATAGAGAAACTGCATTCTCAGATATTGTCAATAATGCTTTGAATATTCCTTAAACCCCAAAGAGATCTGATTTTATCATTTCATTGCTATAAAGAATGCTTAAAAAATAGAGTAAAGATCGAATAGGATGGGAAGAATTATTTTAATTACCACAAATAAAAATTCAATATTAACCCCAAGTTAATTAAAACCATTAAATGATATCTTCATCAGTATTTATTTAATAGATGGTAATCCAAAAAGTCTCTCTCATTAAAGTATAGCCATTTAAGAATAAAAAAGTAATGTCTTTGGTTTCTTAAATATTAACAGAAGATGATATAAAAAAATAAAGTGAAGAAAAAGATAAAGAATAAAAATAAATTTTAAATGAAATGATGTCAAATCTAAATAATAAGTATTTTATTCTAATGTTATAAGGTTACAAACTTAATTATAAATTAATTAAATTGAAGATATTCTATTTTATTTTCATGAATAAATATTTTTCTTAGATAAAGTGGCAATGAGAGTTTATAGATTAAATTAAGTTATTCCAGATATTGATTATAACATCACATATAATATTACTGCAGAAATTTTAACTTAAGCTTTAGGATCAATTCAAAAATTACAAAAACTTTAACCATTAAGTGCTGTCTAAGCAAACTTATATAAATAAACTGAAAACTATCAAATATTTTAATCATTACTATAATAAGATTAATTAGGTTTAGAAGATTTTTATAAAGAAGTAAAGAATAAGATAGTTTCACATTTAAAAAATCCAATTAATTAACTCTTTCAGATTATATCTAATCTACCAACAATTAATTCTATAGTTTAAATTTATATCACTATCAAATACTTAAAGGACAGTTAGAATATAAATGAATTAAACTTTTCTATTATGGAAGACTTTTGGACTTATTATGAAAATGTAGAGAATACCTCAGAATAGGAGGCTTTGCAGTATCTTCAAAAAGAATTGATTTGATTGATTCTGTTTCATTTATCCTTAAAATAAGAAATAAAATATATTATTTATTCTCAAATTTTTATATCAATTTTAATATACATATTATAAATTATAATATAAATATTAATCAAATTTTGAATAAATAATAAATCAAAAATCAAGTTATCTATATAATTTAAATAAATGCATCTATTAATAAAACTTACATTATTTGTAAAATTAAATATAAAAAGCATATTAATAATTATAAAAATCAAATCAATATTCACTTTCCAGTAATCTAATTCTATATAGTTTTTGCTTCTTCTTTATAATGATTCAGAGCTTCATCAATATATATATTTTAATGAATCTCTTAGATTTCTTGCAATATATCTATAATATTTTTAATTAATTTATGAGCAACTGTAAGCATTTTTTGATCTAGTAATTATTATATAATTTCATCTGTATGATCAAATAGCATTTCAAGAAACTCTTACTTCTCAATCCAATGTGTAAACTACAAAATAGGTATAATTCATACGAATTCAAAGAAACTCTCTAAACTTTCTTCTGGAGTGTTAAAAAGTGTATCTCTCAATCTAAATTATAGAAATGCTTTCTATCTATCTATATTAAACTACAATATTTCAGTCTCAACCATATAGCCAATATCATTATATCCATCTAATAATTATTCCAAAATTGATTCATGCAAAACATTGTTTGGCTCCACAAATCTCTCAGCTAATTCATTTAAATATAATAATCTCTCAGCCTTTATATTTGGATTATCAAATGAATTCAATAATTAAATAGATTCTTGATAAAGATCAAATAAACACTACTAAAATTAACCATTTCTGATGACAAATTTAATAGCTTAAATATCATATTCAACAATCACAAAATCATTTTATATATCAAATTTCTCTCTCATTTCTTAAATTTTAATAAATAATTCTTCCTTTCCTCTCTCTTAAGATTCTAATATGCAAAAATAATTCATAGCAACTTCTAGATATATTGTGTCTTAATGAAAACTGTCTAAATATTCATGAAAGTCTCTTAACATATCTTCACATTTTTATAAATCTGTTTATTGGTATGTTGAAGCTAGTTAAATGTAACTTTATGTATATTGAATAGAATGCTTTCCAAAAACTTATAAATAAAGTTCAACAGCTTTTTCAAAATAAGGTCTTGCAGCAATATATTCTTAAATTTATATTTAAACCATTCCTAATTCTTCAAATATTTATGCAAATTGAGCAATTCCTTTTTCCTTTCTCTTTTCTGCTTCATTAGCTACTTCAGGATTATCATGATTACATACTACTTTAATTATTTAAATTTTACATGATTTAACTATTTCCATAAATTTCTCTGTTTTCTGTAAAGCAATCTCAAATTTTTAAATTCCTTATTATATTTAATCTTATTCTATCAATAATTTTGCTTTCATTTCATAATAGAATGCCATATTATATAAGCATTATGATAATCCTTATTCCTTTGTTAAGAATCCTTCATTTTCTCCAATCTCATCAAAATTATCTTATAAATAATTATTAATAAACACTACAGATTCCTTATACTATCTTGCAAAATATTCAATTATAATACTTTAACCATAATTCAATTTCTTTAAATTCTACATCATCTCTTTACTAAGCATATTTAAGTGGAATAATTCCAATTACTAAATTGTGCCATAAAAATTAGTAAAAATTTGTTGGATATTTAGACAAATCAATATTGTTGTAATGAACATTATTCAAAAAATCATCAACAAGTACTTCTTACACTAATTTATCCTCTAATTATTGATTTTCAATCAAATATCTTGCATATTCTATTTTGTCTAATAACAATGAAACACATTTCTTATTTTCTGACTTATCCATTTCTTCTCTGATTCCAATTATTTTTCTTAGCATATCCATTTATTAATGTTCATTTTCACAACCTTCCATTTCATTAAACAAATTATCAATTTGAGTTTATTTTTCCTCTCTTATAATATAATATCAAAATTTACTTATCATGTTTGCCATTAAAGAAAAAACCATATTATGGTATAATAGCTAAATTTGCATAATAAACCTATTATTTTATAGGTAGGAATGATTTTCTATTATGAAATATATTTTAAACAATTCTCTTCACAACATTTCTAATGAGCATAAATAATTAATTAATTATTATTTAAAACTATAAGAATTAATGATTATTATTAAGAAAAGAATTTAATAAATTTTTATAAATAATTATTTGTTTTAATAGTGCTGTTTAATAAGTTCCACAATAAATCATAAAATAATTGAACAATTTAATTTATTTTTATTTATAAATCATCAACTCATAGGTTATTACATTTATCCAAATTGATTAGGAGGTTGTGGTGGAATTTATGGATAATTATAGTTTGATTATTAGTTCTAATCTTTCATATACAGAGTACTATCTGTAAATGATACAATTTAAGGTTGGAAAACTTAAGGATTCCAATTAGAAGGCTATACCATTGGTTAATTATATATTTATGGAACAGGTGCAACAATTTCAATGGGAACATTTACTTTAGGATGTTTATTACAACATGTACAACCTAAAATATATATATACTATTAAAATTTACCAGCAAGCACTGCTTAAACTTCTAATCTATAAACAGATTTAACTAATTATCCATTAGATGAAGGATGAATACCTTCTGGTGAACTCTTATTGTGTAAAATAAGTTAGATTTATTTTCTATCATTTTCAACAGCTCTTTCTCCTGCTTTAATTCCTTACATTTATTATGAAACAATAGTTCTTGTTATTAGTTTTTCCCTTCCTGTTCTATCCCTTAAGGTTAAGTAATTTATTAATCTTGCTTCTATTCTTGTGACATCCAATTTACAATTAGAATTATCCAAATCAGCCCATAAATAAGCAGTATCTCCAGGAAGATAATGATTTTTATCAAAAACACATTTAATATGTGATGTCTAATGATATTTTTATATAATTACTCCTTAGTCGATGCAACACCATGTGGATGCTTTAACTTCCATCTATCCCATCAATGCTGTCATATTCTACTTTAATGGTTCTCTAACAATAAGAGGTTATGAGTGTTAGATATTTTTATATGATTTGTTATAAGATTCGATTTCAGCCTTGACACTATAAGAAATTTTGGCTTAGTAGTTGGATCCCTTCTCAAAATATGATCCAGGTAGATGTGATAACAATTAAAATTAAAAAGGAAAGGTATACTATCCAACAGGTAAACAAGGAGTATTAAAAGTCCAAATTGCCACTCGATGTTAATAAAATTAAGTTTCACCAGAATAGGTTACATATTCTGTGGTTTGCTTTTGCTTACCATCTGGGCCAGTAGAATTACGAGTACGACTTTCAGTCCAATTGCATTTTTCTTTGCCAGATACTTTCAATAATACTACACCTCCTGGAAATCCATCTTTGAAAATGTTCAAATAGATATTTCCTAAGTTAATGTAAGGAATACTTCATACCTGTAATGATTTCTCCTGCAAAATAGAAAGGTTTATCAGTTCTGATATATACCCCTCCAAAATCTGATCCTTATTAATTTCCCATAATAACGTTTAATATTGAAATCCATATAGTACATTGTTTGTAATTCAAGAATGAAAAATAATATGGAATATATACTGTTATTAAATAAAGACTAATAAAATAATCAATTCTTTAATCTAGTCTATAGCCTTTATTTTCAATATTTTTCAGATCTTTATTTTTGAGTACTCTTGTATATAATTAAGCTAATAACTTTGATTAACCTGAATGAGTATTTGTAAAATGCTTGTTCATTTTCTAAAGCTAGTTCAAATAATCTTCTTTTTGCATCTTAATCAATAATTGTAATTCTTGATAATCCTATGCTTTCGTATTTTTCATTCATATCCAATATTATCTTATAATTTATCTCCTTAGTATCTCTTAATAATTCAATATGAACAAGAACTTGAATTCAAGTTTCTAAATATTTTCTGATACTTTGCTTTTCTAAAATTTGGTCGGAATCTATGATCATTTGAATCACTATCATTTTATTCATTTATTTTTATGCAATATTTGTATTCTTACTATTCTAGATAACTAGATAAGTTTTTGTGTCCATCATTAAATGATTAGGTTTTGAATTTGTGAATTCTAATTGTTAAATTTTGTTAATATATTTCTGTAATCACATGACCAACCTATTATACGTCTTTTCAACTAATGTAGGTTCCATCATATGAAGATAATACTTTACTATCAGTCATTTGAATTATATTAATATTATTATTTCTCTTTAAATGTTTGATAATATTAGATAGAATGATGAACCTTATGATACTGAAAATGAAAAAGAATATTTTGATAGAAAACTCTCTGAATATCAAGATATGTACTTCATTAAATAAGCCATTACAGCTTATAGTAAAATTAAATTATTTAATATTGAACCATTATAAAAACTTAAATATGAATGCTATTCGAATTGTTATGATAATACTTAAGTGATTTTTGAAAATTAAGAAAAAAGGAATCAAAAAGCTTAGGTAAATGTCTATCCGAATGCAAAAAAAAAACAAAAGATCTTAAATAGTTTTTAAGAAACTTTGATAAATTAGTATATTTGAAAAATTATATATGTTATTCAAATTGTGATTAGTTGATTAGTTATAATTTAGATTAAAAATAAAAAGAAAAAATAATTTTAAATCTTAATAAATTATTAGAATAAGGTCAATTTTTATAGATGCAAATGGATATGTGAAAATAAACTAGATAGAATATATAGAGAATTTTGGCTGAAATAAAGAAATGATATAATTGATAGATATTCAAATTAAATACCCAATTGATGTATTTACAATAAATATAAACTAATTATTATCATTTCAATTAATAAAACTTTTTATTCATCATTCTATTTAAAAAGGGAATCAATAAATAATTAAATGATATTCTATGAGAGAGAATTCATGAATATCATATAGAAAGTTAATGTATGGTTTTATTAGAAGCTTATTTGATTATCAATAATTGAATAGAATATACATCATTTTCTTTTTTCAAACCACGTATCGATATATAAATAAATAAGTCATATAATACAAATTATTTGTAGTATTATTCATTCTTTTCATATAGCATTAGCATTTTAACATAATTACAATGAAAATGGCTATCTAATGTATTTGCAAAACCCATAAATTAATAATATAAATTAGACACGTAATAAATAAAGATTATTATTTAATAGATTAACCCAGGCTGAGGCAACTTGGCTGTCACTTTATGTGGGTTGTAAGAGGATGTTTGATAAGCTGTCATCTGAGAGCTCGCTGAGTCATTTCGTTAAGAGTCACCGCCCTAACCGAGCTCGTAGTCACTTGTGGGATCCATCAGTAATGAGGGTATCACTTGTGTTGAAGAATCTCGCAATGGCTTAGGCTGGAAACAGAGCAAGCAATAGGGATCGCTATGAGCGGCGGAAGGATACCGGACTCGTGAAGTGATGTGGCTTATCGTGGCACTTATTAAACAGAACTCTGAAAACAAACAAATATTTTTTATTATTCAATATTATTATACTGATGATTTTCATAAATAGATTAGATATCGATACAAGATCTTTAGTAATTTTATTACATAATTTTTGTTAAAGCTAATATATGTGTTTAATGAAAGAGTAAGAAAAATGGATTACTTTCATTTAGAATATCGTTTTTAAATAATCATTGAACAAAACTAATCTGCTTATTTAATATTTATCAATAAAAATAATTGAACTAAAATTATTTAATCTCATTTTAGGTTTAATGTTCAATTGCGATAAAATTAATTTAGCACCCTTATTAATGAGCCTTATAAAATCATAAACAAAAAATTAAATAATTAAAATTTTTTAATTCTTCTTTCAAAAAGCTATCAGTTTTTTAAATCTTTAAGAATCTCCTAAGTATACATTTCCTTTTTGTTTTGTAAAAAATTAATCTTGTAAATAAAAGAACCAATTTTTAATTGCATTTAATAGCACATAAATATGTTATTCTGTTATTTAATTATCAAAAGGATTCAAGAATTCATTAATCATATACCACTAAAATTAATATATTTAAGATGATTTTCTTTTTGAAACTTTGTGTTTACAAAAGTATAATAAATGGTTTGTTCCTTATTTGACTTAAGAAATTCTTCTTTAATGATATTAACACTTTTGAGAGTTTGGAGAAACAACTTTCAATCATATGTTTTATCATAATAATTATTTATTTTAAATCATGCCTTAAAAATATTTACTATTCCTTCTATCCCACTAAAAATAATAGAATCAGTTGTATTCATTTAATCAATGCTAAGAATACCTTTTGGTAAACCTAATATAGATGCCTTGGCTTGACCATCTTTCAAACTAAAAAGTTTGATTTCATGGAGTCCTGAACTTCCAGCATAAATATAGTCCTCATTTGCTTTGCTAAATTTCAGTAAAACAATTACTTAAACTAAGTTGCATATATATAATATGATCTATTGTCATCAGATTAAGATCCAGTCCAAAATATTTCTTAATAAAGTTTTCTTGTTCTCCAATCCCATAATTATATTTAATTTTCTGTTCTATGTGATCCAGTCAATATCAATTATCTCTTAACTGAAAAATCAAGCGAATCTCCAGATAAAGATGGCCCATAAAATTGACCTACACATTATTTCTCTCTTATATCCCAAATCAAAACATTTGCATCCCAACCTCCTGATATTAGAATATTAGGTTAGTCTGGCATGAATTTTACAACAAATACTCTATTTGCATGACCTCTCTAACCCCTAATTTATTTTAGAAAAGATACCAATCTGCTGATTAAAATTGATGCTACACACTTTTTATGTCATCATCATAAATTCTAACACAAAAATCCTTACCTCCAGTTGCAAACAAACTTCCATCAAAATTAAAGTCTAAACATAAAACACTATTATTTTCTTCTACAATTTTGTGTAATTATTTTCCTGAATGTGCATGCCAATGTATTATATGTCCTTCTGCATTTGCTGATACCAATATACCCTTTGCTTTTGGACCATAATTTGGTCTCCATCTTAAAGCAGTAACAGGAGTTTAAAATTATTCTAGTGTATGTGCTAATTTATCTATTTTTATAAAATCATCAATATACTTTAATTATAAAGATGAATCAATCCTTCTGACATCCCTACAGCAAGATATTGATCATCTTGATCATATCTTAATGAAAATACATCTCCTCCATTAACATTGAGCTATTGTTATAACTTTAAACCCACTTAATTCTTGTGAACACCAAACCTCTTTTTTTAAGATAGAAAAATACTTAAATTCATATTTGTTAGGCTCTAATGACTAATTATTTTATTGTTAGTCTTCTTAATTTTACGTACTTTGCATAATTAATATTTTTAAATAATTATACTATAAAACAAACAACTCAAATATTATTAAAAATACTAATCCTATATTTTTTTTATATAGATTCAATCCAAATAATTTCTATTGTTCTTCTCAATATTCAAAATCAGAATGATAATAAATATATTACAAATATTACTTTCCAAAAAGCTTTTATAAATCTTTATTTTAGAAGATTGATAATAATCTAAAGGTTGTTGATATGTAATTATGTTAATTTACTATTTAAGATTTAATAATAATCTTATAAATAAATAGTTTTATGCAAATATCATATCAAATAAAAATAGATTTAACATCCAAAAACAATTTGAAGTAGTTGAATTTCATTTTTGCCTTAGATAACGAATATTAGAAGTTCATTGCATAGTCTGGAAAGCAAATAATTTAAGTCTTGCTAATTTATTTATTCGTTTTAAACAAATAATTATACATTGAGTGGCAAATAACCTACTAGAAATAAATATAATATATTTTTATTTATTTTATATCTTTAATACCTTTATTTACTTATTTTTTATATCTTTACTGTAAATAAATAATTAGATTTAATTTATGAGAAATATCAATTATCTTTTATTATAAAGATATAATTTAGCTTTTTAAGTTAATTATTTGGACTTTAAGAGTCAATAAACAATTACTCGAAAAATAAAAAAATTATTTCTACTTTTTTATAGATATATTATAGAATTCATAAATATCATGCTAATTAATTGGATATTTAATAAAAATTTGATTATATTATAATCATTAATATTCGTCTTCCATAAAATTCCCATCTTTCCATTTACCAATCACTATGATTCCATCCTTTGTAAATTTTCCAATACCATGCTGTTTATCGTTTTTCCAGTCTCCTTCATATTCTGAATTATCAGAATTTTTAAAATATCCTTTTCCTTCTCTTTAAGCATTCACAAAATCTCCTAATATTATGTGAATGAAACTATACCTTTGTAATATTTATTTTCTGGTTATGGCCAGTGCATCTCTCCTTTACCATCAGGTTTATTATTTTTAAAATTTCCTTTATATCGTTTACCATTTGAATAATAATATGTTCCTTCACCATGATATTTATCATCAAAAAACTCACCTTCATATTTTTCATTTATAATTTTTAGTTCTTAAGTACCTTTACCTGACTTTTTACCATCCAAAAAGAAACCTTTATAAATAAATTCTGGTTTTTCTAATACTCCATGTCCATGAGGAGCTGAATTTTTACATTAACCTTTATATGAATAGTTCTTTTATTTTACTTCCATCTCTTTTTACATAGCTCCATCTTACCAATAACCACTCTAAAATATTAATTTCATTTATATTTTACCAAATATCCTTAATAATTTATAACTCTTCCCCAACCTTTTCTTTCATCATTTTCATAAAAGCCTTCATAAAATTCATTTTATGTTAAATAGTAACCAAATCCTTATTTTTTATTATCTTCCATTATTCCTTAATAAAAAGATTCATCTTCCAAAATATAAATTTACATTTATTTATCAACCTAAACTTATTAATCAGGAGGATTATATGGTCCAAGTTAATTATAAATTTCTTTAAATTATTATGGTAATTTATCGATCATAGAACTTTCAATACGAGAAGCTTAAAGATATTTGAAAACTTATGAGGACGAGTTTAAAATTGGTGATATTCCTTAAATCTATGTTTAAAAAGCTAGATCTTAGTTTTCTTATTGTTCTTTATCATTATTTTCTTCTTACTCACTTTTTTCTGATTGTTATTACTATTACGAAAATTATTATAATTATAATTATTATTATTGTTATTATTATTATTGTTATTATTGTTATTATTACTACTATTATTATTGCTATTACTATTACTATTAATATTACTATTGCTATTACTATTACTACAACTATTATTCTTAATCTTACTATTAATTATCAAATTAAATAATGATTGATTATCCCTAATTATTTTACTGATTATTTTCTCTACAAAAAATAGAACAAATATCTTACTTCTGACCTTGGCTTATATTTGAACCAACATTTTCAATTTTTTATATCATAATAGGCCATAAAATGACTTCTTCTTAATACTTATCCAAATCAAAATCCTTAATCTGCGAAGGTGATTAATTATGTTTAGGTGTTTACTAAAGATCTTAACAAGCCTATTTAGTTGGAGATGCACCCATAGAAACAATTTAAATAAAGTTGATATTTTTATTATTAATTCATAATTATTTGTCTCCATGTTTTCCAAATCTATTAAAATCTATTGGTGTATGACAAAGGGAACAAAATTTTAATGCTTGAGTTTACACTTCCTAATCAATCATCTTGTGTTTGCAAGCTTTACAAGTGTAAAATTTCTATCCATATATAGATTTTCCAGAAGCCACACAAACTCCGAAAATAGTTCCACATTCTTTACAAAATAATTAACTAATAAAATAATAATAATATTAGTTACTATTCTGTAATTTTTTTATTACCACAAGAAGGTTTTGGACATTGTATAGCATCACAAACTGCATCCTCTGGTTCATGTCTATTATTTAATAATATTTTTTTACTTTACAAAAATTTAAGCAGCTACTGATTGATATCTTTCTCTCTCTTCTTCAGTAATATTATCCAAGTTTTCCAATTTCACAAAAGCTCTGGCACATTCTTTATAAGATTTATTATAATAAGCAGCAAGTGCAAGTAATGAATAAATCCTTTTAGGATCCATATCTAATTCAAATTCACATAATCTAATGGCTGATTTTCTATAATTAATAATAGATATATATATTACAATGCACATTTATAGTTTCCTGAATAAAGGAATTTTTGGGTCAAAATATAGAAATGCCAGGCTTCTGCTTATCTCCAAGGATTATTGAGTACTTTATCAGCAGAATGATTTAAATCATTGGTAACTAATTAATCTAATGTATGAGCAATTGTATTATTTTAAGCAGTCATAGTGACATCATATAACTTCTTTTTATATAGATCAACTTCTAATGCAGCCATAACAAACAATTTCTTTACAACAAGTGGACTTTAATCACTTTTAATAAGATCTTCACCAATTTATGATAATAGACGAGCAGCATCTGAATTATGATTGGCTTTTCTATATAATTCAGCAGCTTCTAATTTCATTCTTTATTCTAATAATTAAGCAGCATATTATTGTAATAATCCTTCAATTTATACAAAATTGTGTCTTTCAGCTAATTCAACAGCAAAATTCCAAGCATTAAGTAAAACAGCACAATCTATAGCTTTTTTAATATCTCCTGCTTTTTCAAAACATTTGATTGCACTCTTTGCCATTCCTAATAATTAAAATCTTTCACCCAAATCACATAAAAATGAATTTCCTTCTTATAATGAATTTGCTAATTCTTCAAGTGTTTAATAATCTTCAATCATAAATGAAGTTTCTATTAATTTTTCAATATTATTAGATAATTTAAATTATTATTATGCTTTTTCCCATTCTCCTTGATCACAATAATAATTTCCCAATTTATTTTAAGTTTAAACTGTAACTTCATCTGCACCTACAAGATCTTTAGATAAAAATAACACTCTTTAATAATCACCAGTTTTCATTCTCATTTATACAGCTAAATCTTTTCTTTCAATTTCTCTTAATATTTTCTCAGCTTCATCAAATTTTTTCAGAAATACATAAACTTCTGCTTTTTATTTTTCTTTTTCATCATAATCTAAAATTCTTTTTATAAATTGCAATCCAGCATAATCTTCTAATTTCAAATAACATTTTTCTGCTACTGAAAAATCTAACTCTTCAAGTGACTTTTATGCTAATAATTACCATAAAGTATTTGACTATTTTATAATAAATCATAATAATACTGGTTATTTTTCGATTATACCAAACATTTCTTTAGGTGCAGTTTTATCAATGGACTCCTTGATTTCTTTAAATAATCTACTCTCATATTATACAAGCAATTCATCTGCTCTTAATTAACCATCTGGACTCATCATTATATCATCTAATAATGCTCCTCTAACAGTAAGTTCTGAAAATCTAATAATAATAATACTAAGATTTACGAGCATAAGAAAGCATCACAAGGGAGAGGATCATCAGCAGTAATATCTCTTACTAAATGGATTCTACCTTTTTCCATCACAGCAAATTAGAATGGATCATTATCAGACCAAACAACTTGCCAACATTCTTTCTTATCAAAATCTAATAATTTTCCACCACCAACAGAAATATCTAATAACTATAAAGTCCCCATAACATCAATAACAGATAATCGAGTGGAATTACAATTTATATTAATAATATTTGGCCTATTTTCTAAGAAATATTTTGGTTCAACACTGACATAAGGTAATGTAAATTTTAATATATTACCATTGATTCTTCCAATAAACAAATAATTTTCATTAGCTTATATTGCGCAAATAGTTTCATCAGTTTATTTTTCTAAATTAAATGTATCCTTATCATAAATTACTTAACTATCTGGGTTTTCATCTATAAACCAAGCCATTTCTTTACCAATTTTTCTGATTCCTGTATTCTAATTGGATTCAAAGGTGGTTAATCTTTAGACTTAGTTTCTATATTACCATAAATAGACATAATCACTATTGGCAATAATAATATGAGTTTTAGTCATACAATTATATTTAGGTTCAATAGATATAAATTTAGTATCTAAAGGACTACCAATAGAATTACAAAGTTCAACCTTCCAAGTATCTTATTCAACAAGACTTATTAAGACACAACAATCATTAGAACCTTTGATATCAAGTAAGCCTTTCATATATCTTATGGATTTTTATTCTCTTTTTGTATCCCAAAAGATAATAGTAAATTCCATTCTATCTTATCTTTGATAAGCAAAAATAAGAGTTTCAGATTATGATAGATAACTCCATTTATAATCTAATTTGAGATTGGCAACATAAACAGTTTGACCAACTCCCATAACTAATCTCAAGCCATCCCCTTCAAAACTCAAACTATTAACTTTGTCAGTATTGGCAACTCTCAGCGTCTTTAGATGATCACCCATATTGGAATAGAATTGCACTACTGCCCTTTATTCATCTTTATCCTTTGCACTACCAGCAACAGCAAACATAGAACCATTAGGACTCCATCTGACAGATGATATAGTCATGACTGTATCAATTAATATAGGTGACTCATCCTTATCATTTTTCATTAATTAAACTCTACCACATGTATATGCAACTAGCAATCCTGGAGGAGTTTCATCAGTATACATTTTTCCATATTCATACCATTGGACAGCTGCTATTTATTAATTAGGAGTATAATAATTTTTGGGATCAACTAATCCCATTAAACAACTCATTTTTAATGAATTTAATTGATTGCCATTCTAATCATGTATAATAACTTGTCCATCTGCTGTTCCCAATATCATTAATTTTGAATCTGGTGACCATTCAATTAATCCTAATCTGTATTGATAATCTTTGCCCCATAGTCTATTACCTTCAACCGATCCAATAATAACAGCTCCATCTTCATAGATTATTCCAATTTTGAATCCATCAGGTGACCATTTCATATCGGTTACAATTGATTTCTACCTATTATTAACCATCTCTTCCATCCATTCATTCTATTTATGTATATATATTAATTATTTACTCCTAAATTTACCCATACTATTATCTATCCTTGATCATCACTAGTAGTCAATTTCTGATATCTCTCGTTCCATATTATTATATTCACCTTACCCATATGTTATTCCAAAGCTGCTTCATATGGTAATTTGGCTTACTTAATAATATTTATATATTATTTTTACTTGTCCTTGAATTCCTGCTTTTTGATCATCCAACTTTATTATTTTCAATAAACCTTTTTTTTAACCTTATGGCGCATGTCTAATTTATAAATTTTATTTACTCTCCTCCTATTGCTATCCAACCTTCCTCCTAACTCCAAGCTATACTATGCACCTTTCCTTAATTAAGCATGCCTATCTTCTTGACTAAAAATGAAAACATTCCTTAGTAATTTGATATTTAAATTAATAAGTATATGAGTTCACAAATGCATTATGAACTTAATTCACTAAATGAGGATTTCAGATTTCAAATTAATCTATTATCAACTGATCTAGATCATATACTCTCACTTACCAAAATTAGAGGTTAGGATATTCCCTTTTCTCGAATTTGTTAAAATTGCAAATTCAATCATGATTATGATAGCTAACATAATTTGGTAATGAAATAATACACAGAAGCACAATTTATATCAGATCTTATAGCAGAACATGACACACTTTATTAAATCTGTAATTGGGCTCATTAAAGTGTAAACTAATAAAATGGAAGGGAGTAAGATAGAGCCTGGACTCATATTATTTCAAATAACTTTAATTAAGTTCAGAAATTGTTAACAGATGAAGAAAAATGTATTTTAAATTCACTTAGACCTTTTGGAGCGGGAAAAAATTAATTTGACTTCATGCGTTTATCAATTTATCAAAATGAAAATTGGGTTTTAGCTTTGGAAAATCTCAATTAAGTAGCTAATCGAATTTCATATGCAACTAATAAATTATTTAAATGGGCCACATGTTAAAGTGTCCCTTGGAGTGCAGATATTTCTAAATTTAATGAAAATTTATGGCTTAATATTAGAGCTGATCTATTTTGTAAGGTTATGACTGCACATGCAGAAATATATCCAAAAATGTAAAAATGTATAAATTTTGGAATCAATAAACCATACATCTGGTAACCAAAATATTATGAATTGAATTGTGATGACATGGATTATGGAATTGAAACATTTGGTAAACTATTTATTATAGAAATCATTAAGTATTTAACATAAAAATCAAATGCTAATTAATTAATTGAATTGGTTTATGAGGCTATTGATGTGTTAATCAATAAATAAATAAATCCATAATATTCAATTATTAGAGCCAATTGCTTTTATAAAATTGCTTTAATGATTAATGATTTATTGGATATCAATAACGATGATGAATATTAATTTTTATAATTGATTGTAGAGATCATTAAAATTATAGAAACAGAGATCTTTGATTTACCAACAAAATATAAATTTTTAATACATTTATTAAGTATTTTAACAAGGTTAAGTACATTTAATTTATTCATATAACAAATATGTTAAAATATCATTAATTAATATGGAGGTTCATTATCCTCTATTTTATAATTATTACTTGATAATAAGTTCAATAATGTTTTAATTACTAAAATTGCATTTGATAAATTTACTCAATTAAGTCCAATCTAATAAAATGAATTAATTTCTTCTTCATTTTCATAATATTTTGATTATAATGAAAAAAAGGTTTAAATACTTTTATTCCTCCCTTATATTATTGAGAATATTGAAATATTTAAAAACACATTCGAACAATTACTCTAAGATTATCCTGATTTGGGAGAATAAGAAAATTAATATTATCAAGTTTACATAAATAAAGAAGTTGAAAGAATGAAAAACTTAATTAAAGAAGTCAAAATTCCTTTTTATTGGTTTACTAAATATATTATGTTTTTACTTAATGTCCCAAAATTAAAATAAAAAGACATGTATATAAAAATTTTAATATTTTTAGTTTAAATATAATGGATGCAATTCAGATTAATAATGAGCTATTTGATAGTCTAGAAAATAAAACATTTATTTTAGCATTAATTGCTAAGAAATTAACAGAATTTAAAGCATTTGTTAATTATTTGCTTTAATGATTTATTTAGTATATATCAAATAAATTCCACATCAAATAAGTGGCAAATTTCTAAATATAATATATTTAAATGAATAATACTGAAATTTCTTAAGAAGAGCCTCTTCTAGAAAATAAATCCTAAAGACCTCCTGGGTTGTTATCAAGAACCTTATTTCTTTATGTTTTTCCATTACTCAGACTAGCCAATAAAACTCCATTAGAATTTGAAATGGTTAAGGACTTATAGATAGAGGATTAAAGTGAATCATTATTTAATAGAATGAATTCAACCTTTTAGATTTACAAACATGAAAGATTTGCACTTTACAAATCCCTTTTTTTTACATTTAAAAGTATATTCTTAATAGTAAATGTAGAACAATTTTTTATAGTGTATATCATAATCTTAATTTGGAATATTTCTTTAATGTATGGTCCTATTATGATTCGTTAAACTCTCTCTTATATTGACAATTCTGAACATACTTTAGGCAAAAGCTTTTAATGGTTGGGTATAATAATAGTTGTTAGAGTTTTTAATGCAATAACTTATTAAAATAGTTTCTATATGTTGGTATTTTAAATGATTAAAATTTTAGAGAAAACTAGGATATGATTAACATTCAGCAGTTAGTGTTTCTGTGATGAAAAAAACTCTAAATGTGTCATTTTAGAGTAATAAGCAATACAAGACAGGTGAAATAATGAATATTATGTAAGTCGACTTATAAAGAATATTATAATTAAATATAGCTGTAGCTTCGGTTATTTTTTTACCATTTTAAATAGGAATCTCTTTTTATTTATTATTTGATTTTATTGGTGTCTCATGTTTAGCTGGTTTTGGTGTAATGATTTTAGGATTACTGATAAATTTTTTACTTGGAAGATGGGGTTGGAAATTGTAAAAATAAGTGATGGTTGCAAAAGATAATAGAACAAAATAAGCATATGAAATATTTTCTTAAATTAAATTTATTAAAGCAAATGCTTTTGAGGATTATTTTAAAAATAAATTATTAAGATTTAGAGAAAAGGAGATTCAATTAATTAAAAAGAAAAATATTGTGAGTGGTTTATTTACATTAGCATTTTTAATGACACCATAACTTACATTAAATGTTACTTTAGCTGTATATATATGGCTTTAATATAATCTAACACCTGCTGATACATTTACCATAATCAGTTTATTTAATATCTTACAATAATCTGCTAGTGCTTTACCAAGTTTTATTAATTAAATCATTGAAGCAAATATAAGTATTAAAAGAATATAGAATTTCTTATTAACTGATGAACTTATGAATGATTGTATTTAAAATATAAATGATGTTCTTGGAAATTCTATAGAAATTTCAGGAACTTTCTTTTGGGATTAAATCAAAAATAATTAAGATCCTAATAAATCTACTTATATTGTACCAGTAAATTAAGTGATAGATCCAATTTTAAAAAATTTACAATTAAAAATTGAAATTGGTGAATTTGTTACAATAATTGGAGAGTAATTAATATATTGATATAATTTAGTGTTGCAAGTGGCAAAAGTTCTTTAATAAGTGCAATTTTAGGAGAAATGGTTTATAATGTTTAAAGATAGGCACCAACCATAAAAATAAATGGAAGAGTAGCTTATGTAAGTTAAAAGAGTTGGATATAAAATGCTACTTTGAGAGATAATATTTTGTTTGGTTTGCCTTATGATGAAAAGAAATATAATGATGCTATAAAATATTCTTGTTTGGAATAAGACATTAAAATTTTAGACAAAGGAGAAACTACTATGATTGGAGAGAAAGGTGTTAATTTGAGTGGAGGATAAAAAGCTAGGATTAGTTTAGCCAGAGCATTATATAGTGATTGTGATATATATTTATTGGATGATCTAATAAGTGCAGTTGATATGCATGTTGGCAAATTTATAATAGAGAAATGTTTATGTGAACATTTGAATGGTAAAACTATAATATTAATTACTCATGCTCTTTATTCTTGTTAATTTGCTGATAGAATTATTTTAATGGATAATGGTTAAATAATTAAGGAAGGAACTCTTGATGATATTAAAGAGTGTGATAAATTTGATTAAATTTATTAAAAATATTTTAAAGAATAGAAAAATGAATAGAAAGATGATTAGGAAGAAGAATTAGAAGTACTAAAATTATTAAAAAAAAAATCATCTACATAATATATAAATAATACTAATAAGGATTAAGTAGATGATTTAATGATTTTAGAAGATAGAAAAGTTGGTAGTGTTTAATCAGATGTATATAAAGAATATTTTAAAATGAATGGAGGATGTTTATTCTTTACATTCAATTTAATTGTTGTTATTACATAAGTTATAGCTAGATTTGGATCACAAATATGGTTGGCAAAATGGTCTGGATAAAATGACTTAACATATGATGAAAACTTACATAATCTAATGATTTTCTCTTTCTTTTCTCTAAGTTTTGGCTTTTTTGCTTTGATTCGTATTTTAACACTCTCAAGAGAAAGTGTAAATACTGCTAATAAAATACATACAAGAATGATAGAGTAATTCTAATCATATTATTTATTAGTTAATTACTTTATGCACCATTATGTTAATTTTTTGAAAGGATTCCATTAGGTGTATTAATGAATCGATTGACTAAAGATTAATCAGTTTTAGATACAGAAATTCTATGGACTATATCTATTCTATATATTAGTTGCTCTAATTTTATAGGTAATTTATTTATTTTATGATAAATTATAGCAAGTACATTAATCAATGTTTTTAGTAGTTCTTATTATATTATTTTTCCAGTTTTGATATTCTTATATGCAGTTTGGAAGGTTTAAAGATTTTATATGGCTGCAAATAGAGAACTCTATAGATTGGAATCTATAAGTAAAAGTCCTATTTTAAGTTTCTTCTCTGAAACAGTGAATGGATTGAATATAATAAGGGCATTTAGGAAATAAGAATAATTTTTAGATAGACACACAAAAAATATTGATTTAAATAGGAAGATATAAATAGCATAATTATAAACTACAACATGGTTTTCAATGAATTTAACATTCACAAGTTTTATAGTAAATATATCTGCTATTGCTTTTGTGTTGTTTTTTGGTAGTGAGAATCCTGCATTAGCTGGTTTACTTATGACAGTTGCAACTGTTATTGATAATAGCTTATAATCAGCGATTAATTCTATCACTTAAGCAGAAACTTAATTTATATCCTTTGAAAGATGTTTAGCATTTGCTAAAATTGAACATGAAAATGGTTATAAATTAAAGAAGGATTATATCTAAAATTGGCCTTAAGTAGGAGATATTAAAATAGATTAATTAATTGTTAAATATAGAGAAAATCTATCACCAGCCTTAAGAGGACTTAATGTTGTGATAAAAAGTTAAGAGAAGATTGGAGTTGTAGGTAGAACCGGAGCTGGAAAATCAACTGTCACTTTATCTTTATTAAGAATTCTTGAAGCTTCAAGTGGTTCTATTATAATTGATGGAGTGGATATATCAACCTTAAGTTTAAAATAGTTAAGAGAATCAATAACAATGATATTATAAGAATCAACTCTATTTGAAGGAACCTTAAGAGAGAATCTTGACCCATTACATTAACATACAGATTAAGAATTAAATGATGTAGCCTTACAATGTTGTTTGGGAGAATTATTACTGTAAAAATAAGGCTTGGATTCTGAGATATCAGAAAATGGAGATAACTTAAGTGCTGGAGAGAAATAATTGATATCAATAGCCAGGGCAGTTTTAAAATAATCTTAGATAATTTTAATTGATGAAGCAACGGCTAACATTGATATTGATACAGAATCAAAAATCTAACAGACAATTTAAACAGCCTTTAAAAAATGTACAGTAATAACGATTGCTCACAGAATCAATACTATTATGCATTGTGATAAGTAATAGATGTTATTAATTTATTTAGAATATTAGTTATTGATTAAGGAGAGGCCAAAGAGTTTGATGAACCTTAAAATTTACTAGATAACAAATCTTCCATTTTTTATAGTTTGTACTTACAGGGTAAAAAAAGCAATAAGATCTGATTAAGATTGTTTTTATAACAATTTAAGAGTGTTATTATATTCTTTTGATAAATTAATATTATTTTAAAAAATATTAAAGTTATGGGAGCTACATGTTGTGCTGCTAAATAACTTGGAAATACCGAGATAACTAACGCTGCTCCTGAAGAATTCAATCAATAAATTGATAATGAAAAACCTTAAGAAGCAAATCATTAAAACGAAGAACTAGAACACGTGAAACTGGTTAAAGAACCTCCCCATATACCAGTCGAAGAACCAGCTCCAGGGAATCCACCAGATGATGTATTTAATGTCTTACCTCTTAGGCCTCAAGAGAAAAATAGAGATAAATGATAGCTATTCATGGTCCTAACCCTGAAGATGCAAAACCATATGAAAAAGTACCCTTAATAGAAAATGATATGGTACGTAAGACTCTAGAAAAACTTGGAGAATATCGATACGATCCTGAATCACTTCAAAAGTTTGCAGATTGCATTGAACTAGAACCTTATGTATTAATTAATTGTTAACTTATAGTAATTTGAGAATGGGGCTATATATGTTGGGCAATGGAAAAATCATCAAAGATGGGGAAGAGGTAAATAATACTGGCCTGATGGTTCCATTTATGAAGGATTTTGGTGTGTTCATACTGCTAATGGAAAAGGAAGATTGATTCATGCAGATGGTGATGCTTATGTATTATATTATTTAAACATAGGATGGTGATTGGGTAGATGATAGAGCTTAAGGATAAGGAACTTATTATCATGTTGATGGAGCTAAATATGAAGGAGATTGGTTAGAAGATTAATAACATGGTAAAGGAACTGAAATGTGGCCAGATGGAGCTTAATACATTGGAAGTTACGTTAATGGTAAGAAAGATGGAAAAGGAAAATTTAAATGGAGTGACGGAGCAACTTATGAAGGAGATTTCAGAGATAATAATATTGAAGGTATTTTTATATTTTTTAAATCTCTAGGATATGGAGAATATATTTGGGCTGATGGAAGAAAATATAAAGGACAATGGTAAAATAACAAAATGCATGGAAAGGGAGATTTTAATTGGCCAGATGGAAAATAATATAGTGGTATTCTCTTATTTTAAATTATTAGGTGATTATGTGGAAGATAAGAAAGAAGGTTACGGGGTCTTTAAATGGTCTGATGGAAAATAATATAAAGGCTATTGGAAGGATGGTAAATAGCATGGCAAAGGAATTCTAGTTGATAAAGATTAAAGGGAAGTTGAAGCTGAATGGGTTGAAGGAAAAAGAGTCAGACAAGATTGATTATCATTATATTATTATTAAATCTAATACTGTATCCATATCTTGACCTATTATAGGTTATCAATGTACTGAATAATTTCACATTCTCTGATAATATTATTTTTATTATTTTCAGTTAGATATTTTTGTTTAATATTTCATTTAATTATAAATTATTTATTTTACAAAAAATTTTAAATCTAATTCCTATCCTTCTAGTTTTATTTTTAATCATGATATTTTCACTTATTTCCATTCTAAAACCAATTATTTTTCTAAAAAATTATATTATCATCTATTATATTATAAATAAACAGCAACTGCCAAATTTCAAATAGATTTACTTCTCAAACTCTTTGGTATTCTTACTAATTAATAAGGATTTTTCTTTTCTTATATAAGTTCTGATATTCTAAGGTATTTTGAATTTAATCAATTATTTAGACTCATAAAATTAACTTAATAAATAATTGTTATACTTATTTTTTTATATAAAATTTAGCCATATCTGAGGTTTTTAAATGATAAAACAGAATATTACATTTGGAACTGAAATTAAATTGGAAATTTTTTAATAAGAATTAATTATGAACATAATTCTTACAGTCTTCAAATATTAACAGAAATATTATTTATTGATTTTTCTAAGGAAAATTTAAAAAGCTGCTTATGAATTTATATAAATATAATAGTTGTTTTAACTAGAAGATCTAAGAGATATTTAATATTTTCTAAATATTAATATATCAGTAATAAATTAAATCAATACTGAATATTATATTTAAAAATTAGTTAAAAATTTTTTGATAAAACCGACTATATAGTGTATTTTTAATTCATAATGATTGTGCTAGTTTTATAGAATGCTAAAAATTGAATATATTATTGAGTAAAACTAAATTTAGAAAGATAAGAAAATTAACAAAAAGACAAAAAAATGTATAAATGAGAAGAAATCATTATGTTGCTTTTTATTTTGAAAAAGGGATTTCTAATTCTTCATCAGAGTCTTATTTAAATTTTTCTTTACTATTACTAACCTAACTATTATCTACTATACATTTTGAGACAACATTAAGTTTTTAAGGACTTTTTGATACTCTATTAACTATTTTGTTTATCTCTTTAGTGGTCAATCCTGTTTATTATTTTAATCTATTTCTTAATTATTACTCTGATTTTAAGATTTCTTTTTTCTCTTCTTCTTATTTATTACTTTGATGATATTCTGAACTCTTAGATTCATAAAATGCATAAAATTTTTAATATGTTAATTTGTCAATTTAGAGAGTTTTCAATAATTTTGTTGGTTTATGAAATATATGGGTTAATAATCCAAATAAAAATATATTGGATACATCTTAAAATCCTATTTGAATCATTTCAGCACAATGATTAATAAATTTCATTCTCTTTTCATTAACATTTAATTTATTAACAGAAGCAATATAAGAATTAATACATAATTTTACAAATTCATTAAAATTTTCTTCACTTTATGATTAATATTAAATTGAGGAATAATCAACAATAAATTTCCAAAAATCCTCTTTTTTAAAATATTAATCATTTTCTATAACTTTTTATAATGATTATGAAATGGATGTTAAAATTGTTGGTTTTAAATCACTAAAGTAACAACTAGATTTTATTAATTCAAATAAATAAGATAAGAATTGAATACCAAATTCTTTATTTATTAGTATTGAAGGACATTAATTAATTAATTTTATTGAATTGTTGAATAATTCCATTTATATATTACTTATTTAAGGTAAGTTATCAATTAAAGTGCGACTTTTCCTTCTTTTAAAATCATTTTATTTTTCTTTTTCTAATTTAACTTATCTAGATAATTCAGAAAGTACAAAATTATGAAAATGGATGTACAATAATTAATAAGTTTATGAAGATATGTAATATTATAAGTTTAATCTTTATAATTTAAAATTATTAGTATAAATTAAATTATTGATAACAAGTTATAAAATAGTAATGTGTTATTGATCTTTATTTTTATTTTCTAAAATTTAAAAGCAATAATTAAAAAATAGATCTCTTATTTCTTTATAATTAATTTCATGATCATTTTCTTAAGGTTTATTAGAACTTAATAGATTTCTAATTTAATTTTGAAGTGAACTAGCCAATAAATTTGCATTAATTATAATTGATTTTTCATCTTTATTTTCAAAAATTGAGCTAATTGGATTTAAGATTTATTTTGGAAATACTAAATTTTGTTTAATTAAACATTCAATTTTCTAAATATTTAAAAAATTTAATTTTTCTTTATATACCTTAATACCATATTTTACTAATTCTTTTATACAATCTTTGACTACTTCTGAATCTTATTGTTATTATTGATATATAAACATCATTTTACAAACTTAATTAATTATACCAATATTTTAACTTTTTTGAAAAATCTTTTACACACTAATAGCAATTGCTTTCATATCCTTAAGAGGTATTAATTTAGAGTTTAAGTTTTAATAGATATGTAGATAAGGAAATAGTAAATTCTAAAAGATCATAAATTTAATATATATACCTCATCAACCAAATCAATTGAAATCTTTGCTTTAGTTAAAAAGTAACTTGTAAATTGATCTGTAAATTTAATTTCTTCATCTTTATCTTCTAACCACCAGAATTTAGTTTAAGTATGTTGATATGATAATATTGATGCATAAAAATAAAAACCCATAAGCTAGAATTATTCTTATTATTCTCCTTCAAAAAATTGAGAGTATTGTTCTGGTAAACAGACAAAAGGATGACTATGAACAAAAGAAAATATAAAATTTTAGCATTCCTCATAACTCTAAATTTCAAAAGGTGCATAAGTCAAGTAAAATTCAGTTAATTTAAATACACTTTTAATTGGTTTTTCAAATAAATGTAGTAAAAATGAGGATTCATATCTTATTCTTAGATTTTTTGCAAATAATATTCTAATAAACGCTTAACATGTCTTGGTTTTAAAAAAATTACTCACTACATTTGTATTTTTTGAAAATAGCTATAAAATATTAAAATAATTATTATACTTTTAGGAAATTGATTAATTTTAATTGAACACTTTCATTAGGATCAAATATTAAGCTCATAATAGCCTCTTATTCTTCTTGTAGAAAATCAATTATTGGTTATAAGGATTTTTTACTTTCAATTAAAGATTTTAAAATTTTTTCTAATTCATTTAAAGCAGATTCTCTGCATTCATGATTTTCACTTAGAAATAAACATCCTAAATAACTATAATAGGGATCTGTAGGAATATCTGAATTCTAAAAGGAATGAAAAAGTATTTGAATAGCTTTTTTCTTGATTAAAGTTTATACATCTTAAGTTCTATTAGTTACTAAATATTCAAAAATATTATTTATAAATTTAGTTACTTCTTTCAATTCCTATTCATTTTCTATAGTTTATTTATTAAAATTATACTTATAAATTGTAAGAAATTAGATGTAGAATTAATTATTAAATCTATAACTTCTAAAGCAGCTTATCTAGCAGTTCGAAATTTAGTTTAGGAGATTATTGTAAGCCAATTATATGTATATTTGAAAAAGCCTTCACATTAGAAAGGTAATTAAGTTTAGGTTGAGAATAATGTATCAAAAAATTGTCTTAAGACTTTATTATTTTCAATTAATTAGCATTATTATTCATCAATTAAATTAGACTAATTTTCAAGTTAGAGTGATTCTAATTTATTTATTATTTCTTCTAAATTGACTTTTGCAAGGCTTAATCCCTTCAAATATTGATTACAATGATCCATTCCAACCAACTTTAAATAAAAAGACACAAAACTAAGTAAAACTCCTTATGGACTTTCAAGCAATAAATCTTCTAATTTAATTATTACACTAGATTATTCAATATCTGGATCATTCATAGATTCTAGAATATATTTATTATTACCATATATTTCAACTAATTTGATTTCTTCAATTTGTTAAAGTTCAGATTCTCTATTATTTTATTTCTTTGCTCCCTTTTTCATACTAATTCTTTAAGCTTAAATTATAATATAAATAATGTTATTGAGATATTTATGATTTCCCTTAAATGTAGTTTAATTTAATTATAATGAATTCTTACTATTTTTCTTGTTGATTTTTATTTTATTTGATAATTTTTTGGATTGTTATATTTAATTTCAAAATAATTGATTTAGCAAAGATGATAATCATGAACAATACACCATAAAGATAAAAAACTTAAGATTCTGATTTAATAGATTAACTTTAAATAATTGAAGATTCTAATTTTAAAGAAAATTAAGTTGAATACTAAAATAATCTTAAAATTAGAAACGTAGAACTATAATAACTCAGATAAAAAAGTATTAAAACTCCAACTTTATTTATATCAACTTAAACATAATTTTAATCATCATAATAAATTAGCTCTAAAAGAGGATCTTTAGCTGAATTGCATTCTAATTTACCATCTACTTAAACATATTTAGGTTAAATGTAAAATAGAAAAAAAAGAGAACCTCCATCTTTAAAATTAAATGAATAGTAATAAATAAAAAGATATGAATCTTTGGTGAATTTGATTTAACAACCAACTAATAGAAACTATATAAAATCATAAAATGATTATACTACTAGAAATAAAGACAATATTAATTTTAATTCCTAATAAGTTTAAATTCAATAACTAATAAAAACATTAGGAAGCAGAAGATATTGAATAAAGTTTCTATAAAGTATTAGATATTTCATAATCCAATTTTATTTATGTAAACAATCTATAATTATAAAAAAATAAGTCTCTATTATTCATTACTTTAAATTATTTAAATAAATGTATTTTTATATTCTTAACAAAGTAATCCCTTTTATATTTTATAAAATTTTGATTTTGAAATCCTCAAAGACTAATTTATTTTTAAGAGTTTTTAATATATAACTGATTTTCAATTTTATAATTATTTTATATATAATTTTATAATATTATTCTTAACATAATTATTAGTTTAAAATTAATATTATTTTTGATAATGGATGATTATTTAGATGACTAATATTATACAGAATTAGAAGAAGATTATGATAATAATAATGTTAACAATAATGTAACATTATTAAGTGCAAATAATCTCTATTAAGAATTTTAAGATCGTCTTGAGATTATCAAAGATAAAATAGGAGAAACATCTTAAGTTGTTTTAAATGTAATATTAAATACATATACATAATAAGTTATTAATCTTTTTCAATTTTGAAGTAAAAACCATTTATGATAAATTGTTGCTAAATGATTAGTCTGAATAAATAAAAATTTAACTTTAGGAATAAGGTATTTACAAAGTCTCTTAACTGAATTTTCATTCAAACATGATATGCTCAATATGTGAAGATAATAACACATAAGGGTATAGTTTAAATTGTAATCATAAATTTTGTAATAATTGTTGGAATCAAATGATAGAGGTCTAATTCTCAAGTTAAATACCTTTAGTAAGATGTTTATAAGATTAATGTTTTGAAAGATTACCTAATTCATTTTTAGAATAATACTCTAAATATACTTAAATATTAATAAAGAGATTTATGTAACATGATGATGAAATTACTTGGTGTCCAGGTAAATTTTATAAATTTGAATGATAGGATTAAATTGTGAGAATGTTTTTAAGTGTAAGAATTTTTCTCATTCAATAAAATGTCCTTGTGGCATCAAATTTTGTTCTAAATGTAGATAAGAAAAACATTATCCAATTCCATGTGATATTTTAAAAAAAGTATTAGAATATCAATAATCAAATGATTATTGGGTAACTTTACATGCCTCAAAGTGTCCCTAATGTGGAAGACTTATATAGAGAACAGAGGGATGTTTTCATTTAAAATGTTTATGTGGGTAACATTTCTGTTTTAAATGCTCTGGACCTTGGGCAAAAGATCATGAAAAAAATTTTTATACATGTCCCTATATGAATACAAATAAAAATCCATCTAAATATGCTTTATCATTAAAGAATGAACTATAGAGTATAAATAACAATATTAGAATCATTGAATAATCTATAAAAGAATTAAAATAGAAAGTTAAAAAAGTATAATTAGATAATCTTTTAGAGTATTCAGATAAGATTATTTAACTTTTGAAAAAATCTAAATTGTATTATATATTCATAATATATTTAGATTTTTGTATTATAAATACTATTTAATGGAAAATAAGGATGTATAAATATATGAATAAACATTCTAATAATTTTAAAAGGAATTGAATATAATTTTAATAATTATACAAAATAAAATTTTGGAAGTTGAAGACAATGAATAAATAAGAGATAAAATGATTTTAGAATTCATCAATTTTGAAGATTCAGAAAAAAAAGTCTTAAGAAATTTAAAAATCAAAAAATAATTTATAAAATAATATATAATAGAAACCTTAATAAAATGATAATTAAATTATTTATTTAGTTATAGTGATTTATAAAAACAACATTATAAAGTTCATTAATAATGTTTTAAAAAACTTATTTTCGAATTATTTTCTAATAATAATTAAAAAGTTCTGCAAATAAGTTAATTGATTTTATAATAATATAATTAAAATACTTATATATAAGTAAATATTAAATATAAATACATACACAAATATCAATCAATTTTAACAAGAATAATCCCAACCAAATACTTCATTGATTCTTTCACCATCTTAGGGATAGTCATGATCAATTAATCTGGTTGTTTATGTTAATTTATTTGTCTCTTTTTTTTTTAATTTTGGTGCTATATATTCTTATTATTATAATTTTAACCAATCAATTTCAGCAAATATAATATGATTTTTTATTTACTTAATAGATAATCTATCATTTGGATTTTTAGTGATAATTTATTCCAAAAAATTTTTTACAGATCCTGAAAAGTTTTTTGGTATTCTGAGTTCTTCATTTTATATACCATTTAATAGTATTCTAATATTATTACTAAAATGTGGAGGATAACCTGATAACATTTCATATAACAATAGACCAACTGTATATATATCTGTACTTTATGTTACTCCCTGACCATTTAATAATTCAGGAGATAAATAAGCTGGTGAACCACAAAATGTATGAGTTATATTAAAACCTTCTTTTGATAATCCAAAATCTATTAATTTTATGTAATTATTTTTTGTAATCATTACATTTTCTGGTTTTAAATCTCTATATATGAGATTTAAAGAATGAAGATATTCTATTGCAAGAATAATTTAGGCAATAATAAAAATGGCTTAGGTTTCTTATATTATTGTACCTTTAGTCATATAATTAGTTAGATCTCCATTGTCACAATATTCTAATAACATGTATAGATAGTGTTAAGTCTAATTAATATAAATTTAGATTCACTTAAAAAGAATGATGTAATTTTACAACAAATGGATGATTTAGATACTTCATAATGCTTAATTCACTTTAAATATATTTAACATCTTGTAGAACTTATTATTTTAATTACTATTTAAGTGCAAATATTTTATTTTTATAAATTACCTAAATTAGAATTGAATTAATTAATTACTTTAAAGACTTATCCAAAAGATCCTTTGCCTAAATGTGAGAGTACTTATATATCTTTTATTCTTATAACACTTCTAATAAAATTTTAGATTTAATGTTAACTTAATATAGATTTTTCATATTGATTCATTTAAATGATTTATTTTTCTATATCAAAAATTTCAATTTCTTAATTTTATTTTTCCATCATAATTTAAAGAATTGTTTTCTTTTGTTTTTCTTATTCATAAGTATTTAATTTTTTATTCATATATCTACAATAACCAATTGAATTTTTAATAGATTCTAGCCATTATCGAGCAGCATTTTTGGTTTGAAATGCAATATGTAAATGTTTATTAAAGTACTGTAATTCTAAATAAAATAAGTTTTTATCTTAAAACCAATGATCTTTAGATAATTTGATTTCATTTATAAACTCCAAAGGAATTAACTCTCAAAAAATATAAATAATATACTTTGGATTAAAAGGATATTAAATAGAAGTCTTATATCTAGCAATGGCTCCAGAATCTGGATCACAAATTAAATAGTTATCAATCAAAAGCAATTTAAAATATGAAACTATTTTAGCACTTCCTTTAATAATAGGGGGTTTTTGTGGTCTATTAGTAAAGAATGAATTTAATGAATAGAATGTACAAATAGATTATCTAAAAGAATTTATGATATCAAATTATTTATTTCTTAAAATTAAGAGTTCTTTTTAAAGTATTTTCTTAGTTCTATCACCTGCAACATCTACAACAGATTTCCCTTAAAATGTTATTGAGATATCTATTTTTGGATGTTTCAATAATAACTCTATTAATTCTTAATCATCTATTTAAGCAGCTATATGTAAAGCTGTTCCTTTTATAGTAATCTAATTAACATTGATTGAATTAGAACCCATTATCAAGTTTGTCACTAAGCTAGTTAAAATTTGAATAATTTACTTTTAATATTTGATTACCAAATTGCTATTTATAAACAATTCCATCCATCTTTAGAGAGAATAGAAATATCACCTCCAGAACTTATTAACCATAAATACATCTTCTCATCTCCTAGAAATGTAACTAAATGAAGTGCATTCCATCCTGTCAATTCAATTCCATTTATCAATTATGCTCTATCATTTCTATCTTCTAGAAAGAGTTCTAGATCACTTAAAAGAGACAATCTAATTAATTAAAATATAGTCTCTTATTCAGGAATAGAATTAGCTGAAGTATCAAGAAATTGTGAGGGATCAAATTATGATGAAAATGAAGATGCCATATCAGAAAAGGGATCAGTTGTTTTTTATGCAAATATGGCAGAGCCTTATTAAATCTAATAATCACATATGTAAAGGTTTAATTCATCAAGAACAATCTTCTTAATCTAAAATGTTACTTTCTCATTTGTTTATATCAAAATCAATTTAAGTTGATTTTAATCAATTCCTGTCAAATTTGATACTTAATCATACAATTCAGATATTTTATACTTCGATGAGATTTTTAATTACTCAACATTCAAAATTCCCCAGTCATTATAATATCTAATTACGATTTTCATAAAATAAAATAATAATATTTCAGTATTCAGTATTATTACCAAACAAAATAGTATAATAATATGAAATTAATTCAGATATCCTCTTATTATAAAATTAATTATACACATTAATTTTTCAATACATTAGTTTCTGTTATAATTCAATATCATAAGGTTCAGATGAATCTGACCATCCTTCTGGTTTCATTTTTCTTTCAAAATATTATCTATTTAACTTAAGTGCATCTCTTCCTTCAAAAATGAGTCTGTCAGAAAATGTATTGTTAAAAATGAATTATTTCATACCAATCAATTAAAGAGTCTTATCAAACAAATCAAAGTAATTAATCAAACATAAAACAATCAATAAACATGGCATTAAAGCTGTAATACTAACTCCAAATATTGGTAATAATTCAATCTAAATATTTATATTATTGAATTCATACATTTCCCATTGCATATCTAAAAGCAGTCTCTTATTTTAGTTTAATCATATTTAAGAAATTCTAACATAATGGTGCTCCAACTCTACTAAAATTGATTGTTGCAAACATAAGACTTGGTGCATCTGTCTAATGATCTCCATAAAGTCCATAAAATCCTTGAATTCTTATTTTAAATAAACCATAATAAACACAAAAAGCAATGTAGAGTAAAGGTATAAATGAATAAAAGGAAATACTTAATAATCCATCAACATATCTAAGAGGTAAACCAAATATTGTAAATTATGTACCCATAAAAATTGTTACTTCAGAAATCAATACTAAAATAGATAATATTCCAAAAGTCAAAGATATTATTACTTTTAATTAAGGTTTTATAACACATAACCAATGCCATTCTAATATATCCAATTTTTATGCAAAAGTTCCTTCTCTTGGTTTTTTAAAAGAAAATTAAACCTTCTTTTCTTAACTATTTATAGCCTTTATAATATCCTCCATTTCATATGCTGATTTACAATTCTCTTTCCATTATGCTTTAATTCTCTTGTATTCTAATGAGTTCTTTCTTATTTCTTAATATAAATTCATCATTTCTTCAACAGATTCTGGTCCTTTATTTTTAAAAAAAGCCCCTGTTATAGTCATTAGGATTTATGATTTTCTCTTTTCTTCTTCCTTTTTTAAAATCTTATGCATATTTCTTGGTATCATATTTAAGCATTTATTAAGGTAATACATCATATCATCATTATCAAATCGTTGATCCTTTATTTAAAATACTTTCATTGATGTTTCCAACAATTTATGATGAGCATCATCCTTTTCTCCATTTATGCTTGCCGTTCTAAAATAAAGATATTTCATCTATACATCCAATTAGGATGTTCTCATTTATGCCTTTGGAATTATAACTAATCCATAACCCAATAAAACTATAATTAGAGCAACTCCAAATGAATTTGCCATACTCTTCAAAAATGTACCTAAACCACACTATTAAGCTTATCCAGTATAGAAAATTGCTAGAACAAAAACTATGCCAACAACAGAAATTATAATATAGAATCTCACATTGTTTTTAAGTGCTTTTTTTAATTTATCTCTCTTATCTAACTCAACTGATTCTTCATATTCTTACATAATCGGAATTACAGTCCAACACAATATGAAATTTGTCCAATAAAGTATTTGATAAGTCTATCATAGTATTAAAGTCATTACTTCAGCTAAACTCAGGTAATCATTCGAAATAGATCCAACGCTTTAATCTCTATATGTAATATATATGTCAAAAGGTAAAAATAGTAGCAGCAAAAAATTAATTAACCATGATACTAGTGCCATGCCTTTTACATAAATACTAACATCCTTGCTACAATATTTTTGAATCATATAGCCAATTAAGCAAGTTACTATCACGATTTCAAATATAAGTATTAAATACATTAATTTATATGCACAATGATTTAATTTTATGGTCATTCTATGTCTAAGTCTCTAAAAAAGAAAGTCATTTGATATAATTATTGATAAATTTTGTTAAAGACACATTTGATATGCTTTAAAATTAGAAAACTATCATAATTTTAGAGTTATAGTGATTAATGATGTAAAAATCAAAATAAATAATCCAAATATGCTTGCACTAATAAATTATAAATATAGGAATTTATAAATAATAGTAAATTATCAACATTCATAATTTTCAAGAAATCTAATTACCATTCCATATGCACACTTAATAATTTCATACTTAAGACATTTAATAATAATATTAATTTACATCATTTTGTTATGTATTTCCTAAAAACCTAAGATAAATACTGAATTTTACTATTTAATTCATTGATTTCAATCAAAATTTTAGTATCTATTAATTATCATTTGATTATTCTAAAGAAAATAATGATTTAATAAACTTAAGAGAAAATATTATATTTTTGAATCAATAATGAGGGGAGGCTTGTTCATATCACAATCAATAAAATAATAACAATATTCATCTTATGAAAAATAAAAACATCTACATTTCTTTAAATTTTAATTATATGCTCTTTGGCATATCATGATATTGCGATTTAGTTTATTTATATTTAAATAAATTAAATCAAAATAGATTGTCAATATTTCATAAACAAATTAGAGTTTTTAGTAGTAATGAAAAGTAAATATTGATAATTTCTTCGATAAAATTTACAAGAAAATAAATCTACTTTAAAAAATAATAAATAATTAATTACTTAAGGAATGTATTTATTTTTTTAGAATAATAATAATAATGATGAAGTCTAGGATATCAAAATTTATATTTACTATAAGATAATTACAAAATATATTAATGCACATTCTCTCCTAAATCGAGAAATTAATCAAAATATTAAGAATATATCAAGAACTAATAAAAGTTTAATAAAATTTATGACCTAAAATGAAACAAAAAAGTAAAAGAAAATAGCTTTATGATTTTGAAATTGATATTTCTCTGCTAAATAAGGTTTGCTCATCAAAGTAGATAAAATTCTAATAATCTTTTTCTAATTTGCAAGCATTACTTATAGATGAATAGTATAAAATACTCATTATTTTCTAAGGATTATCAAGATTCTATCCCAGGCTAATTGTTAAACAGGTTTTCAAAAATAAAATATAAGAATAAAATAACAAAAAATAAGTTATTAAAACAATTAATATACAACTTATAATATTAGATGATATATAACATTTATCGGCTACCTAAAATTTTATATTGTATTAGTTAATGAAATTTAATAGACATTTAAAAAGAAATTGAATAAAGAATTCTTGCAATTATATGTATAAATTGTTATGTTATTTTAGATAAATTGCAAAAATAGTAGTATCAATTTAATAGAGGTTGAGTACTTTTAATAGAAACATAACTTTGATTAATAAAAATGGATTGATGTTTTAGATACATTAAATGAATAAGTAAAATTTAATACTAATGATATACATTTTATGAAATTCAATATATAAAAAATAGAGTGTTGGAGTAGATGAAATACAAGTAGCCATTATATAGTTGCAATAAAACAGATGGAATTAAAAGAGGAATTTAACCTTATTTTGATACATTATGAATGTGTTATTAATAAATGTTCAATTATAGTTAATATGAGGAAGAAATTAATCATCCTCAATATCGTACCAGAGTGAGATATTAGTAAGTAATAATGCTTATAAAAGGGACAATGGAATCTAACGAAATCTGAATGGATAACTTGACGTGACTTGTTTCTTAATGGCTGTAGAAATATAGCGTCTGGTTGCTGAAAACACTGAACTAAAAATTACTATAAAGTAGTAGTCTGATAGTGGGTTAGATAGAATAAATTATGAGATGTAAATAAGAGATTTAATGGAAAAGCTACAATAATTGCAGCAGTATATAATATAATTGAGAATAGGGACAATTATTTAATAGGTAGTGATAATGAGAGGTTGAGAAAACTTATAAAAGACCTTGAAGTTTCATTGTAACGATATGAAACTTAATTACGTGACTATGATCCAAATTGGAAAAAAGAATTAGAATAATAGAAAAAACAGCTAGTACAATTGTAAAAAAAGATAGGTGATGATGATGTTGGTAATAGAGAATATTATTAATAAAAGATGATTTAAGGTCTCAATTAAACAAATTAAAAAAGAAGTTAGGGGATTATGAAAAACAGTTTAATGGGAAGAGTCCAGAAGAATTATAAAGAATGTTAGATGACTTATAAAGAAAGGCTAGATAATTTGATGATTTATAAAATAAAATTGGAGGTATGGATCCTGACACCTTAGCAAAAAAATTGAAAGAATTAGAGAAGTTATAAAAGTCATTTGGTGGAAGTCCAGAAGATTTATTAAAAGTAAAATACATACAAATTATTTTAGGAGTTAGAAAGATTAAAAAAAAAGGCTAAAGAAGCAGATGATCTTAAAAAAGAATTAGATAGATAATAAAGAGAGAATGATAAATAGAAAAATGATTTAGATATTCTTGATGATTTAAAAGTAAAATAAAATTTTATTATTAGAAAAACGCATAAAATTTACAAATGGAAAATGGATACTTAAATTAATAATTAAATGATTTGAAAAATAAATTAAGAGATGCAGATCAATTAAGAATAGAAATGGAATAATACAAAGAATTATTAAAGAAAAAAGATTAAGAAATAGCATATTTAAAAAATTAATTATAAGATTCATAAAGATAATTATAAGATTCATAAAGATAATTATAAGATACTCAAAGGCAATTATAAGATTAATAAAGATAATTGGGAGATTTGTAATATAAATTTAGATAAGCAGAATAAGATAAATTAAAATTATAATCAGAGTTAAATAATTGTTTAGATGAATTAGATTCAGCAGATGGATAAAAAGAAGTAGCAACTTAATTAAAAGATGAAAATGATAAATTAAATCAAGAAGTTGATTAATTAAATGATGATAAAAATAGATTATCAAATGAAAATGATGAACTTAGAAATAGATTAAATGATTTAATGAGATAATTATAAGATAAAGATAATAAATTAAAGGATTTATAATAAGATATAAATAAAAAGAATTCAGAATTAAAAGATTTAGGTAATAAATTAAAGGAAGCTAATGATAAAATTGAATGGATTAAAAATGAATATGGATTGACAGATGATGATTTAGATCCAAAAAAAAGAAAACTTAATGGTAAAAATATTAAGGAAAGTATATTATTCTCTAATATATAACCATCTAATTTATTATTGAATTTTCTATTATAATCAGCTGAAATTGAAAGATTAGGAATAATTATTGATAAATATTATAGTGAAAATGAATCATTATAAAATTAAGTCAAAACTTACAAATAAAAAAATGAACAAATTACTTAATAATTGTAACAATAACTAATCTCATTATCCTAAATGACTTAAGATAATGAGATTGAGAAATTAAAAGAATATTATGAAAATAAAATAGTAATGTTAACTATGGAATTGAGTAGATTAAAAAAATAATAAACTTATAGCTCATATTAATCAATACCTATTTCTTATAAATTATAGCCTAGACCAAATAGCTAAAATAATGGTGATGTATTTGAGACTCCATAAATGTAATCTAAAAGAGAAGAGGATTTATTATGTTTATTTGTTCTTATGGGAGCAGAAATATAAAATTTGAGAGATTAAAATAGTACATTACTTTTGCAATAGAATGATAAAGATGTAATTAAAGGATTATTAACTACAAGTGGATATGAAAGTCAAAGAAAAATCAAATAACAAACATAAATTAATGAATATTAAACCAATTATGAGAATTATTCATAAATGGATTCAAATAAAAGATAAGCCAGAAATTCATTTTAAGATTTATAGAATAATAATACTTAAATCATCACTTCAAGTTAATAGAGAGTTAAAACCTTAAATGATTCAAGATAGAATGATGGTTACAATTTAGACAGAATAGTATCTTAACAAGGTGATAATGGTTCATAAAGATCTTATCAATATTAAGCTTAAATTCCCTATAAATATGATTAAAGCTCATAATTAAGTGGTAGTTAAGGTTATTTAAAAGTTGGTAAATTTGAATCATCTAAGTATGTTAATTGATATATTCATAAATATATTCAAATTTTATTTTATTTCATCATTTTTTAAAATTAAATATGAATTTTTTTTAGAATCTTTAATATAAGAATTATTTTTATATGAAATTAATAATGATTATCTTCTAACTTATAGAGATTCATTAATTATTGGATTTATTGAAACCATTTATCAAATATATATAGATAATATTAATGAAAAAATCTAAGGAATTTTAATAAGTTTCTGTAGTAGAATATTAGATTTAGTGAATTAATCCCACTGAATTTATAAACATAATGAAAGAATAATAAATAAAAATATAATAATAATATTATGATTTAAAAGTATCTACTATATTAAATGAATTAAAATATCATTAAATTAGATTTATAAATCATAGTGGAATTACTTATTTAAGAACATAAATATCTTTATGGATATATATATCCCAATATGATAATTCTTAAGTATTATTAAAATCAACTTCTTCAAATAATCTTATAATTTAAACAAATAATATACTTATTTATTAAATTACTTTTTTCTTTATATTTTTTAAGTAAATCTGCTTTCTTTATAGTTTAATTTACTTAATTTTCATCAAACCATTACTTTAATTGACTTTACTCAAAACCGTATTTTTCACCAAGAATTTTACCTGCTCTATTATATTCAATCCAGTCATCCTATTATAATAATTCAAAGATTTCATTTTTTTCTACACTCAAAAACTTTATCTAATCAAACTAAAAGTAAGTTAACTTCTTTCTATTAGGATTAGGAAATATTTGTTAAAATAATGTTTCAGAAGTAATTTATTATTTTTCAATATTATCCCATAAATCTGGACAAGTTAATTTTTATCTAAAGTTTTTAGGGGAAATAGCTTTCCTTGGAGATTTTATTGTATTTTCTTTATTTTATCTTTTTTATGTTGTAATAGTAACATTTGTCTTCAAATTTGTTTTTTTCATAACGATTAGATTAAAAATAAATATATTTCTAGATTAATAAAATACATGCTTGTTTATTTGAATAAACTAATAAAAAGAAGAATATGAAAGTGTATAGAATTTAAAATTATCTCAATTTATAATATAATTATTAATATGGATAATGAAATATATGAAGCAAATTTCAGGAATAAAGTAAAACATAGAAAGGAAAATGGAAAGAAATTCATTAATGAATATGAATTGTTGGATGAATTAGGATAAGGATCATTTGGAAAAGTCAAACGAGTAACTAGATACTTTAAAGAAACAGAAGAATAAGAAGAACTTAGTAAAAGTGATTATGCAATGAAAATATTTCACAAAACAGTTTTAGCTCATTAAAGAACTTGTTTTTATGAGAGTAATTCAAATAATCCAAAAATGACTAATTTATTAGAGTTTGCAGATAATGAGATCAATATTCATAAATATCTTAATCATCCAAATATATGCAAATTATATGAAATAATAGATGATGAAGATGATCCATAACAAAAAATATATTTAATTATGTAATTGGGTGATTTAGGATGTATTATGAACTTCTGTGAAATTACATTTAAATATATTAGAAATTAGGCTATTCTTGATTATCTAAAAATGAATTATATGCAAGCAGCTAAACTATTATTCAAATAGATTGCTTAAGCAATATAGTATCTTCATGAAAATAATATAGTTAATAGAGATATTAAAATTGATAATATTATATGCACTACTTTATATCCATTAGATTAATGTTGTAAATTAATTGACTTTTCAACTTCAAGAATAGCTGATAAAGATAGTATATTTTATGATTGTGCTGGAACTCCAGGATTTAGAGCACCTGAAGTATAATTTTGTTTAAATGATGGCTATTCTCCATTTAAATTAGATGTTTGGTCATTTGGAATCTGTTTATATATTTATACTCATGAAAAAGTAATCAATTAACGTATATTAATAGCTACCATTTTGGGGTGAAGGAGATTTAGAAACAGATTTATTAGCTAGAGATTAACCATTATAATTTGAAGTTTAGGATGATTTACTTATTAATTTAATAAATAGTTGTTGTGCAAAAAAACCATAGGATAGACCAACAATATAACAAATATTAGATCACGAATGGTTTAAATGAAAATTTATTTTTATTATGAATTTATAGTTAAATATATAGTAAGAAGTTGCTAGATTTGCAGATATCAATCATATCTATGAAACAGTATAAAAGAAAGGATATTTAAGTCAAATTTCTAAAGAATTTGAGGACATTTTTATGAATGAAATCAATTTTGCATAACAAAGTAAATGTAATATCAATTTTAAGGATTGAGGGAAGTGATTAGTGTTATGGAAAAATAAGGATAAAAGATTGAATATAATTTGTAATTATCAAGAAATCTGCAAATATTTAAATCTAACTTTGATGTAATAGTTACAGCTACTATGAATTAAATTTGGAATAGACTCTTAATTGAATTAAATGTTTTAGGTTAAGATCAATAGTCATAGATATTTAATATAGATACATCTTAAACTGTTAAAAGAGTAAATGATTTAACCAAATAATCTGTTTCTGATTTTAAAAAATTTGCATCTAATTAATCAATATGTAGTAGATCACCTAGTAAAATGTCATCAAAAGTTATTCCATTAAGTGAAATGTCATATTAATCAAATGGCTCACCAACAACATTCCCAAAAGCTAGAAGATAATTAGATAATAGTTTAACTACAAGTTCTCCAGGAGTAGGAAAGTATAAATTAGATTAAAGTTTGAAATGTAATAAACAATATATATTTAATATTTAGTGATAAGAGAGACTTCACCTAATGCTACAATAGGAAAAGCTCCAAAGATAAGTTGGATAGATGAAAAAATTAAAAAGGAAGATTCTTAATCACCTGGGCCTATTTATAATCCTGTAAAAACATTTTGTTCTAAAAAAATTAAATGATAATATCTATCATTCCCAATATTCCGTTAAAATTTATCAATTTTCCTAAGTTTCATTTATTTTTTAATCAGTTCAAGAGTAATCAGTATTTTATAAGAGGCTTTAATTTGAATAACTCTTATATCTAAATAGATCCATAAATATATATGAATAATCATTAGCTACAACATAGTTTTTTAATCCTATCTTGATAAGATATTTTTAATTACTTATAGCTCCTGAATTTATCTCTTCTTAAATCTATTTTAATATAATTTAATTTCATTTCTCTTAATAATTGTCAATTTTCAAATAGATTATTTTATAAAATATTATCCTTTATAATAAATAAGAATTCTAAGTGATGAAATGCTATTCAAATTTTAGAGAGCTTAAAATTAGAAGCTTAAATATACTCCCATTTATTATTTGAAAAGTCCTTTTCATTCTTAAATCAATACTTAGTAGGTTAATAATTTCTAATCTTAGCTATACTCTAAATTTCACTTTGTAATTAGTTATATGAGTTACAAAATTAATGCAACCATCAAGATCTCATTCTCAATTTATTAAGGATATTTAAGATTGGGTCTAGTAAAAAGAATATAAGAAATTAAAATTAGCAGAGGAAATTAGAACCAAAATGTATAACCATTTAGGCTATCAATTAATCCTAAATCTGTTGAAATAGCTGAGAAAAAAATGAAAAAAAGTGAACTTCCTTTAATAGATTAAGCTGATCGATTAGCCATGCCTAGACGACCAAGTTTTACTTTTTAAAAAGTAAAATTATAATTTTCACCTTGCATCAATACAAAATCTAGATAATTAGGTAATAAGTATAAATATTAAAGATTTTTGTCCCTTGGAATTAAAATCTTATAATAGGAATCAATATGTAAATATTATATTTATGATTAATTCTAATTAAAAAGATGGTTTATTCTTTGTTATATTTTTGTTCAAGAAATATGAATAATTAAAGATAGGCATCATTAAGTATAAAATTAATGAAAATTCAAGAGATTGTTATTTTATTTGTTTTTGTCTGATCCTCTTATCTGAAATATATTAATTTAACAGATCTATAATCCTGGTAGTAGTTTAATTATGTAATATTAATATTCATTTTTCAATTTGTATATATTAAACTGAGTAGTGATTAAGAATAAATAAAAATCTATTTTTTCTGTAAAAATAATTCATATAATAATCATAATATTAGAATATATTAATATAATTGTAAAATGATGCAATTGTTTAGTATAAATAAGAAGAATTATAAATAAATTAATTAAGTAAATAAATGAGAATATAATTAAAAAACGAAAAATTGAAGTGATTATGATCAATTTAAATAAATTTTATTTATTATATGGGAAATCTATAAACATTAATAAATTATCATTCGCCTTTATCATATATTTATGATCTAAATGAATAAATATAAGATTGTGGAATGATAAATCATCCTGGACTTGGAGCAATTTAATTATGGAAAATTAAACAATCAAATTAACCAATGATGTTTTCATATGTAAATTAACTTTTTCATAAAAATTAGCATGTACATCTGTATAAAAATGATTCACGTCTTGTTGATTTTCATAGAATTCGTTGTTAAATTAAACATCCTAACCTTTTGTCTTATTTTGCATGTACAAGCTCAAAAGCTTAAAATATTGGAAGTGTTTAATCATTATAACTATTTTTTGCTTATTACCATAAAAATTTAAAATAGAAATTACTTTAATAAAAAACAATGCCAGAAACTGAAATTTGGAATGTAAATAAAAAATATATAGAAGATAATTGAATAAATTGTTAATGCGATGGCATATTTATAAGGATTGAATAGATATCATGGTAATTTGACTACAGAATCAATACTTTTGAATGAAGAAGATCAAATTAAAATATTAGATTAACTCTAATAGAGACCAAATGAAGAATAGATTAAAAAAGATGTTTTTGATTTAGGTTTAGTAATAATAGAAATGCTAACACATAGAGGTAAATAAATAAATATATTATTATAAAAGCAAATTAACTAAACTTTTATGAATCATTAAAACAATTGGCTGGAATCTATTCAATTCAATTATTGTAATTAGTTGGTAAGATGTTATAAAAAGATGCAAGATTAAGACCTGATTTTTATCAACTTCAAGACATAATTAAAAATAGATTTAAAGAACCTATTATCTTACATAATCCTAATTTCAATTAAGGTTAACCAGCATTTATATAAATAAATAATCATCCTTAAAGATTATAAAGTAGGAATTAAGATTAAAGAATGATAACTTTACCTGGCACATAATATAAACCTTCAATTCATCCTAGAATTATTTATAAAAATTCATCATAAACTAATTTATAGAATATTACTACTATACCTTAGTATCCAATATAAGGAACTTAATAAATACAAGAATAATAAATTTATAGTAGTGTATAATATTAAAGATATCATACTCCAATTAAACATATATCAATGGTTGATTCAATCTCAACTGTAGATAGATTAACATCGTGTCAAAGTGGAATTCAACACATTTCAGTTATAAGGTAAATTTGAGTTAAAATAAATATATTATATTCTTTTTATTTTTCTTTATAGAGATTCCAAAAATTATTATTTTTGAATTATCTAGATAAGTGATAATATTTCTAAATCTAAAAGAGATATTAATTCTAACATGTATATCATCTTTATAGATATGATATAATAATTATATGATTGTATTTATTTTAATAAATCTCATTCTCCATGTAATCCAAGGCATTTTCCAAATATGCATTCGAAGGCATCCAAGGCAGTTTTCTATTTCTCTAAACATTCATATCCCTATTATAATGAATTTAATATACAGCAGTGTAATTCAATGGATCTCTTTCTTATACTTTCATGCATTTTTTAAGTTATTTCAAGCAGCCAGTTGAGTTGTCACAAGTTTCAAATTCATCTTTGCAAACATCTTAAAGACACGATAAAACAGCATCAGGTTAGTGGTGTCTTTTAGCCAAGGCGATTAAGATAATAGCTAAGAATAGTATGTATTTCATGATGAAAAAATTGAGATAATTAAAATATTGTTTTTAATTTTCAGTATTATTAAAGTAAAAAATACTAAAAAGAAAAAATTAGTTGTTAATAACTAATTTAAGAATATCTAAGATATTATATATTAATTTATTAATTATATGAAATTAATATTATTTTTAAAAAGATTTCATATTATTAATAAATTAATATATATACCAATAGACTTTATCAAAATAAGATTTTGATAATTAATTCTTAATGCATCAATAGGTCATTCAAATTGAATTCAAGTATATTTTCTATTAAATTATACTATTTTTAATAGAAATCAATACTAAAAAATCTTACGTATAAGCTTCTTATTATTATTCAAACAGAGCATATTGATATAAAATCATATTTTTGATTTAATCTGTTTTAAATAAGTATTTGTTATACATTTATATTTTAGTTTATAACAATATATAATAGTCGAAGATAACTTGTAAAGTTTGAGAATAGATTTATTTACTTATAAAAGTTATTATAAAATATTTTATAATTAATATTATGAACTAAAAGTAGAAATAAACACTTTTAAACTATTTTTGCTAATGCAGCAATGATAAAATAAATGTTATCTCTTAAATTAGGGATTTTCGAAACAATGATATGGTAAATGTTGTTGCCAGAGCTAATCTAGCTTAATAGTTAATATTATTTTAATAAAACATACATGAAGCATATGAATTATTAATTGATTTAATAGGACTTGAATCATAAAATGTAAAATGTGTTATGCACACTGCAGCAATCAACTTTCAAGTTTTTGAAATTTTGGGTATTTAAAAATAATGCCAACTCTTGATTGATATAGCAAATAATTATTAAATACCAGATTGTGCAGTTCATCTATTTTTTACATAACCATATTAAGATTAAATGAAAGAGACAGCATAAATAAAGAATGAAAGAATTAGATATTTGTGTAGATGCCATTTAGCATTTATATTAGAAATTCCTGATTCAGAAATAGGACATTTGAATGAAATTTTAAAATTTACCCGCTTTTTTGTTATGGATTCAAAAATAGTTATTAATGATGATGTTATATTCTATTTAAGAAATGAATTTAATCGTCTTTAGAAATCAGAACTACATGAACTTGGATTCTCTCAATATAGTAAAAGAAACACACTTAATTTAATAAAGAAAAAAGAATTTATATAGATTGATAAAAAAATAATTAATCATTTTACTGTTGAAATAACAGTATATAAATTAATTGCATCTAACTTTTAATTAAGTTTTATAAGTTCAATTTAAATAATTAGGTTTAATATGTTATTACTAAACTTACTATATAAATATAATAATGATATTGATCTCTCCTTTTAATATAATGATATGGAGAATGATCCCCAATAGATTTTTCCTTATTTACTCTAAATAATCACTTTATTAATACAATTAAATTAAGAAAAAATTATAATTAAAGTATTATCCTTGATTCACACACTTAAATTTACAAAGATGGATGATATATAAAAAGTCAATGATTCAGCTAATCTTTTATTAAAGTAATAACCAAATCAATAGATTATTGATTCATTATTACCAGTATTTAAGAAATATACTTAAGAAATATATCATAGATTTGCAATATTTAGTAATCAATCAATTGACTTTTCCACTGTTTCAAAAGAACAAACTATACATAATTTAATCACTTCAATTTTTATTAAATAAGACAAAGATTATTTGGCTGCCAATTTTGATAAGTTATATGAATTAATGTGTAATGGTATTTAACTTATAGAAATTTAGTTGATTCAAATAATCCAAGAAGAGACGTTTGCGAATTCCTTGAATTAGTTTACTTATTATAGTATCGATATGATTAGAAATTTCTTCAAACTAAATTGACAGAATTTTTTTCTTATTCTTAGGAAGATTTAAATAGCACTCTATTAATGATTTATCAATAATTAGAAATAGATGTGAATATCAAGTAACCTTAAACTCTTTCTTTTGAATATATTTCTATAATATCTAAGTTATTACACTTAATCTTAGTTATATGTTAGAATCCTAAAAATAAGAATCTTTATATGGAATATTTCTCTATGTAGATGCAATTCATTAATAATTTTGATAAGAAATTACCCAAGGAATCTGATTATAAAAATAAAGGCAAAATATTGAATTGTCCACTTAATAATGAAATGGCAGACATAAAAAAAGCAAAAGCAATGTTATTGAACTTAGCCTTAATAGAGAGAGTATATAAATTACATAAAATTGATAATCGTTAAATTTTATTATTGAAATTATCTATTCTATCATATCATGATAGTGTTCCAGAATACTTACTATTATAATTATCAAAATCTTCATAAAATTTTAAAGATTTAAAGAAATAATATCCTAATGCTTCTATAATAAAGGAAATTAATTTTTATTCTAAAATTGAGAAATTAAAAAAGAATTTTGGTTAAGAAATAAAATTGAAATCTTTATAAGGGGTTCCTACATTAAATAAATTTTTGAAACATGCTCAAAAACTATTATTTTAGAAATAAGTGAGTGTAATAACTAAATTATAAATATTGGAATAATTAATGCCTTAATTAACTAGTTCTTTATTTGAATTTTAAGAGAAACCAAAATATCAAGATGAATTATTTTAATAATCAGATATTCATATATTTAAAATAGAACATAAAGAATTTATTTCATTTTATTTAGGTAATGGTGAATTATGCACTCCAGCTCTATTTATAAATTATAGAGCAGAAGCTATTTATGTTTATTTACAAATATGTTATAAGTTATTAAAATTTTTAAAATATTTAGGTTTTTATAAAACTATAAATACAATATCTAATTCAATTATTTTATTCTCTCAAAGAGCTTTAGGAATAACTGTCTTAGTGAATATATATTCATAAATACCTTGGTTAATTGAAACTTAATAATGGTAATAGATAACAGATGGAGTTTGTAATGTTGTGAAATATTTGAATAAAAAGTAAGATTATGCATAAGTTACAAGTGAGAATACAAGACAATCCTTGTATCGTCAAAGAAGAAGTTAATGGGCTAAATTAAAGGAATCTCATGCTAAATTAGTATAATGTTTTGATGAAAATAATTTATTGAAAGGAAAATTCTATAAAGCTTTTTTTAATTTTACTTTAGAATATTTATGTTTATTGAATCATTCAAATCCTTATTTGTATGAAAAATTATTATTAAAATAAACAAGATCATTTGAATTGAAAACAAATTGCATAATTTTAAAATAATTATTTAGATGTACAGATGCTAAATAATATTGTTTTTTGGTAGATGAAAATTGTAGACATGAATTAGTTTTAGATTAAGTAATATTAGAATAGATAATTCCTGTTCTTGTATTGGGATTATGTGAATAATAAATTAATTAAAATGTATGCAATTATGGATATTAGATGTTTATATTAATTTAAAATCAATTAGCATAATCACTTCATTCTAATATCGATTAATCTAAATTATATATGTATTTATATTTAAGATTAAAAGAATTTCTGGCTGATTTTTAACCTTAATTTATTAAATAAATATAATGTAAATGTCCATAATAAAAAAAATATGATAAAAATAAATTTGAATTTGATTTGATTGCAACTTTAGCTTCATTTTAGATGAATTAAAAAAGAATACTCTTATAATAAGAAGATATCTCTATAATGAAATGTGAAAATCTAAGTAGAACTTCTGAATTAGCAAGTATCATTGATATTTCAATTAAAAGAGATATTGTTGTAATTAATTTCTTTGAATTTAATGGAGAAAAAATTATATTAATCTCTAAATATTGTCATGCAACAAAATAATGTATTAATAAATAAGTCAATCTAATTAATAAATGCTTATAATTTAAAGATGCCTTGATGTATTATCTAAACTTAATTTAAGAAAATATTGATTGTTTAGATGAAACTTCAAGTGCTCCTGGATAATGGTGGTCAAGAAGAGATTATTATGAATAATAATTATTAAAAAGATAATCAAGTATAGAGTATGCATTATCAGATCATATAGATTTTATTTATAAATCTGATAGTCCTTTACTTATATTAAGTCCATAATTATAATTACTTCCATGGGATCATATCAAAAATACTGTATTTAACAGAGTTTTATCTTTGGGTCATATTTTGGATTTAACTAACTTACCTACTGATCCAAAATAAGATTTATTTTATGTCTTAAATCCAGGAAATGATTTATAAAAATCAGAAAAGAAAATATTACCATTATTAAAATAATATAATTTAAAAGGTATAGTAAGAGAAAAACCAAATAAAGAATTAATTGTAGAATGTTTATAAAAGAAAGACTATTATTTTTATATTGGACATGGAGGTGGTGAATAATATATTAATGAAAAATAAGTTTTTTAAACTTAAATTTATTTAAGTGGAAGACCTTATTTATTAGGTTGTAGTAGTGCATAAATGATTGATTTAGGAAAATTCAAAGGCACTAATCTATCTTTTTAAGAAATCTATTTGGATCATGTTGATTGGCATGGATTGGCTGTTTCATATCTTCTTAGAGGTTGTCCATCTCTATTTGGATCACTTTGGCCTATTACTGATAAAGATGCAGATTAATATGCCTTAGATTTCATCAATGAATATGGAAAAAACTAGGATCTTAAACCAGAATTAATTATAATGTAAACAAAACCAAAATGTAATTTGAAAGTATTAAATGGTGCTGCATTTGTATTATATGGAATACATGAAATGAAATGATTTTATAACTAATTTTCATATTAATTTCTATAATTATTTTCTAAATATTTCAAATAAAATTATTTATATTTCTGTCCTTCTCTTTTTGTTATAACATTGATTCAGTATATATATATTTTTAATTCATTTTATTTTAGCTTTTTCTGCTTTTTTTGAACAAATGAATTTAGACCAATATTTAATTCTCAAATTTAATTCAAAAAATTTAATAAAATGGCGTTTGGGTTAATGTCTGAATTAAAATATATCAAATGTATTATTTGTAATGCCTTGCCTTGCATTTGATTTTAGAGTAATATGTAAAATTTAAATAAAGATTTAGTGATAATATTCTATTTTAATTAGAGACTGATTAATCTTCCTCTATAAATTTTAAATAAGGGCACTTTGATAAGTAATTTAGCAAAAGATGAAATTAGAATGGGATTATTAACAAACAAATTTTAAGATTGTAAATATATTATTGGAATTTTAAAGTTTGCAATAAAGGGAATTGATAAATTTAGATTATTGAATAAGAAGATGAGAATTATATTAATTATTCAAAATAAATATATATGAAGCTTTATTATAGCTAATCATATAAAAATAGTAGTAAGATACATTAATTATATATATTGATTTTTTAAGATAATCCATTCATAGAAATAGTTAATATATAATATATAAAAAAGATCTTATATACTTATATCTTTGGGTAACACACTACTCTCAATAAAGTAAAGAGTGTATGATTTGAAAAACTAAAATAAAAGGAAAAAACATATCCAATAACTTAACATACTTAAATTAATATATAATAATGAAAAAGAATTGGTGTTTATTTAGAATATTTTTTATGATTAATGAATCAATATCAAATTTCTTCTCCAGCTGATTATCTTAAAGCTAATTATTCTCTTAAGGTTCTTAATTCCTTATTGACTAATCCGATGGTTTATGAAACGACATCTCTGTCAGAGGTTCTGGCAGATCTAGCATCTTAGTAATCTTAGACGGCTTCTTCACATTAGGTGAATCTGTCAGTTCTGTCAGCAGTGACGTTTTCAATTCTTTAGTTGGTGGTGTCAAGTGAGGCTTCAACTTAAGCAATGACATCATTCAAAGCAGCCAAATCTGATTAAGCGTTAGCAAGAGCAGTTCCGGCAACAGTGAGGGAGATGACAACAAAGTTTCTGGATTTCTTGTATGCTTCAACTCTCTTATCTTCAGCGAATCTCAATAAGGACAATGAATCAGCAATCTTGGCTAATAATTCATCAGCTAAATCGATGATCTTTGAGACAGCTCCAGCATCAGCTAATTATTCAACCTTTGAGGCAATTGTGGCGAAAGCTTTGAATAATTTGCTGTATCCCTTTCTGTGTTAGAATTTGGCAGCCTTCTTAGCAGATTAGGTGAAGTGTTTTTAGATCATGCTAGCAACTTCCTTGGTGAATTTGTGAACTGGTTATCTAGTGGCTTTTCCTTTTTAGATGAAGGATTCGTGTTCAATGTTATCAGCGAAGAGTCTTCTAGCTTCAGCAATGATAGCTGTGGCTTCTTAGTGTTCTAAGACTTTCTCTTCAAAGTCAGCGTTTTCTTCAGCTCTTTAAGCATCGAGTTCATCTAAATCCTTTTAGTATCCCTTGACTTCAGCTTATTTTTAGGCAACTAATCCTTATAAGATTCCTCTTTATGGGTATAATTATCCTTCTAATCTAGCTTCTAATTCAATCTTCTTTCTGTTAGATTCAGCCAAATCCTTATCGAAAGCTGAGATGTCCTAGAATTTTATAAGTGTATATGTCTTACAACTGTGCATGCATCTTAGTATTCGTGGTTTCTGGCATCGTCTTCCTTTTATTCAGCAACATATCTGTCTTCCAAATCTGTCAAGGTTTAGAGTAATCTGTCTAATGGATCTCCTGTTTAGAGTTCGAGCCAGATGGTGTCGAACAATGTTCTTCCGAATGGTGATTAGTCAATCTTCTTGATTGTTGCAATGACATCAGCTTATGTTGATGAGGCTAACACAATGAGTGCTAAGGCAAGGATTATTGTTTTCATTTATAATAATAATGAAAATTTGAAAAAAGTTAGTCGTTTTTATTCCTCAATAAATGACGTCTTATTTTGTTTTATTAATAACCTATTGACTAATTTTGATTATAATATTATAGATTTCTAAATCATTCAATTAAACTTCAATAAATCATTTAATTAAACTCAATCCAAGTCTAATATGGTTAATCTATAATTTAATGATTTTAAATATGATTGAATTTATTTTTAATATGAATTATTTTTGATAATACTAAAATGAAAATAAACTAATATATATTATGAAAAATAGAATAAAAAGAGATGGATTATATAAATCAAAATAATTGAGATTCATTAGAATGCAAAACATTAAAAAAGTCATTGGGAAATCTACTTTTTGGTACTATTGGTTTGTTTTGCTATATTTTATTAGTGATTTTTGAATATTAAATTCTACTTTATTCATTAAATTTTTTTTTTAACTCTCCTGTTGATAGAAATAACAAATCTAAAATTTTTTCTTTTGTTTATTGACTAATTTAATTTTAATAGTTTGTATTTTTTTGTGTATTCTTTAAATTATTTTAAATTTCATCTTCTTTAAAAAATTAAGAAAATTCATCATCACAAGGCATATCTATATGATGTTTTGTTGGGAATCTTTGAGATTCATTAATATATTAATGCCCAAACTGTCTTTTTAAACTTGTAGAGTTTCTATTCTCACAAATACTACCAATTCTATAGGGATCATCTGGTTCTGTCTTCAATATTGATTACTTTTCTTTTGAATAACCTCTTTATAATTAATATAGAATTTCTCTTGAATCATCAAAATCTCTCTTTGCCTAATATTTAATTGGAGAATGAACTATTTCACTTGGTTCAGTATTAGTTTTTTGAAAAGGTACATGATTTGATCTATTTCGAGCTTTTGCTGAATCATTTCTCAATCTTATATTGCTATGCTAACTGAAGCGAATAGTTTTTTTTGGTTAAGTGGCAAGTTCACTGATGTTAGGTTCATCAGACTTAAATCTTCTTGGCGTTGGCTACCTCATTTAGATATTAAGATTTTCGAAGCTTTTAAATTTTGACAAAGATTAATCACATTATTATTGTATTTGAGGTGAAGGTAAGGATGGTAAATCTACTTTATTACTTTTTAAAATTCTCAATCTATATCATATTTATAATTAATACTAATTATTATTTCTTTTTAGTTGAGGAGAAGTAATAGCTTAGGTGATAATGGGAGCTGGTCTTTTAATATTTGATAATCGATTTTAACTTTTTGATTTTGATTCATCATTTTATTATTGACTAAAGCTTTGTTTACTTGATTGATTTCTATAGGATAAATGATTCACAGGTTTAATGAAGTATGGCTATTACCTCATATGATTAATATAATTTTATGATTGTTAACAATATAAATGTATATTTAAAATAGGTTTCAAAATAATCAATTCGAATTCTTAAATTTACAAATCACAAAATGACATCTTATCTAAACCTAGAAATCTAAGAATAAACTCCTATTATTTTATTAATAAAGAGATAAAAAAGAATAAATTATTGAATAAAGAATCAATATAGTAAGTATTTTACTTATTAATTTATATAAAATATTTTTGAAAACTTTTGACTTTTACAAATAGTATAAGTTCTTAATTAAAAAATAGTTAAACAATTATAATTGATAAAGACAATAATTCAGAATTCTTCTTAAGAACAAATCTATTCTAAAGCTAATTTTATTTATTTAGTAAATAACTCCTTAGTAGTACTATTCAAATAGTTATTTAATACTAGTATAATAATTCTATTATATACCTTGATATCCTTAGGTAATTAACTCCAAAGTCTATTGTGGTAATATCAGAGTATTCTTATATTCTTAAAGCAATTAAACAAGTTATTATTGAAACTAATTAATTTAAATGTATATATACTTCACTTGGATTAAATAAAGAAATGGCAAATAAGATATCACTATTAGGTGATGAAAATTTTAAAATCTTAGGAAAAGCAACAATTATTGTAAATGCTAATGAAAAAATGGATGTTAAAATTTGTTTGCCAGTAGTGTAAACATCTAATGTTTTCTTTTTTATCATATCTGTATCCACTTATTCACCAATAACTCCTTCTTATATTAAGAATTGCATAACATTGCAAAGAATACTAGCAATTTAAGATAATTAAAGTGCTTCTTCATTTATTTGTTCTTCACCTTTTAGTTATTTAAAATTTAATATCTCTTTCAAAGTACCTTCTGATATAATTAATAAATCTAAATAAACATCTGATCCACATCTATAAGCTAATGTCTCACTATGTTCAGAGCAGATCCCTTCTAAACATTCAAACAAGTACTTTTTATATTTTATTAAATTAAGAAATAAAGGCTTATATACAGTTATAAGCTACAATTATTTTTTAAACAAATTTAAATATGAGGAATCTTAATAGATTACAAAAAAGCCTTAATTAATTTATTTAGAACTTGACACCTACCCCATCACTTTTAATAATTTAGCAGCCATCTTCAATATTTAATCCTTGACTAGCTAACCTTATTATATACTAGTTTAAGCTTGTAATATTAAATAATCAATAGATGTAATAAAGAATGTTGTAGCTTTGCCATATATTTAATAGAGTAGAATTTAAATGTTTTCATTTGATAATCTTGTATTTCTAATTGTATTTTTATATAATTACTTATTTTTAAATATTGAACATAAGAGTGCTGTTAATCCTAAGGATGAATCATAATCTTATACAAATATTTAAGTGTTATCAGTAGATAATAGAGATGATAAATCAGGAAATCTAATTATATATAATATATATATTACACAATTCTTAAGAATACTCTATATATATTATCTACTTCTAATTCATCTACTACTCCAATCATATCCCATAAATATTTGAGCATATTAATTTTATTAGTTTCATTAGTAATAGATTTTTTTATTTATTTGTAAATATCAACTAATGCAGGTACATAATCATCTAATTAATCATCAACCCAAACTAAAGAAACCAATTTATAAACTTGTTTTCTTTTCTTTATATACTAAACTTCATTAAAACATGTTAAATCCATCTATAAGAAGAATTATTTCAACATACTACTAATAGAACTCTATCTAAAGAATCTTCTATCCAATTATCTCTTTAATCTAAATTTATAAATCAATAAATACTTTTCATATGTATATTATAAAATAATAAAGCTATATTCTACTAAATCTGGATCATGAAATGTAAATATTTAAAAACTATAATTATACATAAATATTACCATTTTTCTAAGCAACTCTCTATAACTATTAAATAATTAGATTGTATTGAATTATCTTTTCCTAAACTCATAGATCTACTATTACAATTAATTTATTACAATTATGATTAAGATATCACTATCTTTTATGTTTCTTCATAGTATAAATTCTCGATAGTTTAAGATATATATGTTTAAATAAATATTAGTATACTAGTGTGATATAATTTGCAAACATAATTCTATATATTTATCTTAATTTATTTTTTACATCTGCAGGAATATGAATTTTATTTGTAAATGCAATCAAATCAAGTATTGCTTATAATAATATACGAGTTTAAGGATGACCCTCTGGTTTACTTTATTAAAATTGAGAATCTATTCCACTTAATAATTCAACTTATGCTGGACTTAAAACAAGAGCAGATATTAAACACAACAAAGCACTAAATTTTTCTTTAATTTTAATAAATTATTACATAAAGTTATTAATTGTTCTTGTGGTTACAATGTTTAAACTTGCTAAATTTAATAATATTAAATACAATTATGGGTAAATTTTTTAATAAGTCTGAAATCACATTTAAACATTCAACTGTATTTTATTGATAAACCTAAATGCATAGATGAAAACTTTTGTCCAAGAATTTTTTTATTTTTTTAATAGGATAATTTGGTGGTATTTCAGAAAAAGGATTTCCATTATAAAATGCATGAATTAATAACTTAAAACTCAAATTTACAGAATTTTACAATAATTTAAATTATTGTAAATATTGAGAACTGTAGATGTTAATTTAAAATAAAAATTAATGCCAAACTTCCTATAATTTGATGAAAACACTGTTTGATGATAGTTTTATTCCTTAATTATTGAGAATTAAATGATTTATTTTATTTAATTAATTAACACATTGATCAAACAAATCCTAAAATTTTCTTAATTTTTTTAAAGTAAAATTTGACTAATAAATAATTAACAGATACTTACAACTAATCTTATAGCAAAAGAGCAAACTTCATTTGAAAAATTAGTATTATTCAAGTATAATTCATAATTATTTAATAGAAATAGTAAGCCTTCCCAAAGTGTTCTTCTTACAATCTTTTTAAAATTATGCTTTGAGAAAAATAAGGTTAATCTTGCTGAAGCAATCCTTTAAACAATATTTAGTATTCTAATTGAAATGGCTTAATCCAAAGTATAAAATTCAATAATTGCTCTAAAATATTCTTAATTTAGCTTTTCATCATTAAGTATTTTGAAATATGAATCTGGAAACTAAATTTATTATGATAAATGATTTACATTAATTATTAGGTTTTCTTTAGAATCATGATCAACATCAATTTCATAAAAACTCAGATTGAAATTAAATGTAAAAAATGAATTAAGTAATGATATTAATGAATCAGCATATGATTTATCTAATCGATATATATATAAAAAAGATCCTATTTTCAATTAATTTTAAACAAGTTTATGTGTCTATTCTAATAATGTAGATAATGACTATCTAATAATATTTAATAAATAGCAACCTTTGAAACCCCATCATTACTTTTCTAAATTCTAGATAACCAGTTGCATAATAATATTAGCGAACACAACTTAATAGATTTTCAAATAATTTGCATCCCAAAGATAAAATTTAAACATTTTATGTATAAAAAAATGTGTTAATAAGTTTTTCTACTAATTACTCTGGTGCAATTATTTCAGACCAATATTTTCTTAACATAAAGGCTAAAGCAAACAAAACTGTGTTTTAAACATAATTTTGATGTTGCAAACCTTTTGAAAAATAATTTATCACTATTTCTAAGTGCATTGTCACAATTGTAGTAAAATGTTATCTTTCATTACTAATAAATTGAATATTTTATAAACCTTTCATATTCTTCATAACTTTATGATTTTCTTTATGGAGTCGGAAGTACATTAACAAACTTACAACCTGCAGCAATTGATTTTTGAAGTAATGTGTAAATCACAAAAGTTGTTTCTTATTTACAATCCACTTCTATAATGTTTTTTAATAATTGCAAATTATTCCAATCCAATATGAATTTTCTTAATTGTTCTAAAACTTATTGATTTTTCTATAAAATACAATAAAATCAATACCGCAAAATCTCCAGCAGAATATGATTATAAGCAATAATTATGAATTGTTTATTAGAGTGCAGATGTACTATTCATATAATTAAATAATTAATATAATACAAAATAGTGAATAATAGAATATTTAAAACTTTGAGGAAAATCAAAACAATACAATATTTGATATTGTTAATATTTAATATTCAATTCCAAAATTAGATATTATGATTTCACAAATTGGCGGAGTTTTGTAAAATCTAAAATAATATAAATTTAATTTCAACAACAAAATTAATTAATGTGAAAATGAAAAAAGAAATAAATCCAATTTATCTAATAAAATAGTATATTATTATTTATAAATTTTATCAATAAATCATTAAAAATTTTTATAAATCACTCCAATAATATATGATATTCTTAATTAATATTTATAATAGAAGGTTTAATTATTATAATTCAAAATATATTGATACATTAGAAACATAAAAGTTTATTCTCAATTAATATAATCTTACAAATGTTTCAATTAAAAAAGATTGAAAAGTATTATCTCAAAATACTTCAAAAAAGGCGGTTAAATTTGAATGTAGAAAAGTATATTTTATTATATACTATGAAATGTATTAATTAATATGTTTTATCAATAATTATATTTAAATTTGAAATAATGAACTTGTAATGGAATCCTTATTACATTTCAAAAGAAAATAATTCATAACTTAATGTATCTATCCTTATTATTTGAGAATGTATCGTTTAAGGGATTTGATGAAAATTTGAAATAACCATTATACAATAAATAGATTCAATTGCATAAAAAATTATAGATTTAAGTATATTCAATTTATAGAATAGCCTACATTCTAGCCTGATAGTATTAAATATAAAAAAAATAAAAAATAATAAAGTTGTGTACCCTTTTAAATGAATGTGCCTCAATAAACATCTAATCAAACATTAACAAAAGTAGCACAATTAAGTTTAAAACCTATATTCAATAAACCAAAAAATATTGAACAAAATACATAAAATGAAAATCTTAAGGGATCAGCTATTTGGGAAAGAAAGGATTTTCAAAACTAATAAATTACATTTGAGACTTTCTTAAAAGATTAAAGTCAATCAAGAAATAATTCAATCGAACATAATAGCAATAAATCTCATTTTAAAAAGAATAGTCGTTAATATAGTTAAGTTGTTTAAGGTAATTCTGGTGTTTATTTTATGATTTCTAATATGCCAAAAAATACTAATACAAATACCAATACTACTAATTCATATATATCTAATTGTGAAAAGTAATAATGAATTTTTTATATTTATAGTTGTAATTCACATAGGGAAGATAAATAAATTGAAAAAATAAATGTTCCTAAATTTTTCATTCCTGATGATAATTCTAATTAGTTTAGTGAAAGAACAATAAAAAAATAAAGCCCTAATAATCTAATTAAACATAAAAAAAATACTAGATGTATATCAATGGGCGAATAGAAATAGATAGGACTTGCTCTCGAATGTGATGAATCAAGCATTACAATTATTAGTGATAATGCTAATACTTAAGTACTTAATCCTACAAATACTAAAAATAATAATATAACTAATGAAAACAATAATTAAAATTCTTAAATAGGTGGATTTTCTTAAGAAACTTTGTAAGTTTTGATGCTCTAAGAAATTGAATATGCTCCTAATTGTGATTATCTATAATCAATATAGACTTAAATTACTCCATTAATGAGAGCAATTTTGATGGATTGGATGATTGAAGTTTGTTCTGTATATTTAATGAAGAGAGATACATATTATTTGGCAGTAGCTTATGTTGATAGTTATTTATCAAAAAAAGCTATTACAAAACCAGAATTGTAATTATTAGGAACTGCTTCAATGCTTATTGCATCTAAAATGGAAGTAAATATTATGATAATTCTTTTTTTTTAAGGAAGTAGAGTCTAAGAATCCATAGGATTTTGAAAAAGCTAGTAATTATGGTTATTCTATAGAAAAAATCTATGAAATGGAGAAGGAAATTTGTAAAATTTTATAATGGCATTTGAATATACCAACTATAAATTTATGGATTGAATTTTATACAAATTAATGGGATAATTATATTTCAGATGTTCATAAGAAATTTAGATAGAATAACAATTCTTCATTTAAAAGTATTACATAAATATAATATATAAGTGATGCTAAAATTGTAAGGATATATTGATTGTTGTTATCTTGATTTTGAAACACTTAGTTATAAACCTAGAAAAGTTGTAGCTTCTTTCATGTATTTAGTGTTGGCATTAGAATATGAATAATTCACAAAAGAATATATTTATTATGAAATTCCAAAAACCAGAAAATTTATACTTGCTGATTGTAAATATCTTTTATAATCACTAGCTTAGAAATCATTTAATAAATTATTTACAGAATTCTCTTAAATTAGTTTTGGATTCAATCTTGTAGATCTGATTGAAATAATTAAATATGCATCTAAATTTATCATGTTGGATTTTAAATATAGTGACACAATCTAGGATAAAATAAATATTGTAGTATATATTAATATCAAAATTTAGAGACACGAAGATTTACTTATCTATTAAAAGTATAATTAAATTGGACTCTCTTTCATTAGATAAAGGCTCTAAAAGTGATATAATTTTAATTAATTTTGCTTTATACTCTTGTAGATTTTAACATTATTATTATCAATAATAATAGATTATTTATTTTTGGGTTATTTAAGAAAACTTCAAAATATAAAAATTATAATAATTCTAATATATATTATCAAAAATGTAATCTAATAATCCTAAACAAGGATTACTCTCAAATTAATCTGATTCTAAATAACAAAACTGTTTATTCGAATTTGAAGATTTTGGAATTGACTAAGATTAAATCTACCTTGATGATGCAAGTAAATTATTTTACTAATTATTAGAAATCTAAACTAACACTGAAAATTTAAACAATCTTCATTAAGAACCAATAACCATGTTAAAAAGTAATTAGAACTCTAAACTCTAAACTGGTTAAAGTGAACAGTAATAGTAATTATTATTATCCAATCCTATTCAGTAATAAGTTCTATAAGTACAGCTAATTTTAATTAGTTTTTATAGAATCCTATGTTAAATACTCATAACTTATCTCATTCACATTAACATCAGACTATAGTTGTAGAATAATAAAAGGAAAGTAATTCCAATTAAATTTCTCATATTCAAAATGAAAATTGTAATTAATCTAAGTGAAGATTTATTTTTTAATTTAGTTAAATGCAATCAACATGCATGTTCTGTTTGACTCTACAATTAATTCCAAAAAATAAATGTGTTTTTATGTGTTACAATTGTAAATAAATTAATAAATTGATATATGCATATTTTATTTGTGGTACATGTAGAAAAACTGTAATATATCAATAAGGAAGTAATAATTTTTACTATTTAAGTTTCGAATTTAATAAATTGTACAAATTGTTTGACCATCAATTATATATAATAGTAAAATCTCCCAAATACTTTTTTATAAACTACATTTTAAGCTGGATAGCTTTAATCCTAATTTTATTAAACATAGACTATATCTTCTATATAAAATTAATAATAAATATAGTGTTCTCAATAATAATAACAATAACAGAATCATGTGTCAGACCTTGAAGCTGAATTTAAAGAATTAAATAATTGAAATATTATATAAAAATAGCCTTATTATAAATGATTTTATAAAATAATTTGATTGTTTGTGATGTATGGAATCAATATAAAATAATTATTTATCAAAATGAAAACTGTTAATAAATTAATTTATCATCAGGATTGACTAAAGGAAAAATCCATAATGTCTTTATTATAATGAAAACCAGGTTATTGTATTGTTGAATGTTATAATAAATCTTCTTTGTCAACACCTTTTAAATTTGGAAAAATTTTAAATAATAATCTTTTATAATCTTTGGAATTTGCACAAATATTATAATTGCAATTAATAAATTCTAATGATTTATTTATGTGAGTTAATTGATTCAATTATGAAAGATTATTTGCAGATATATTAAATATTTTTAGAGATTTTGTGTTTGAAAGTTATTAAATTTAATTATTTTATGCATAAAGCTCTATTAAATTTGGAGGTAAACCTTCTAAATTTTTTAATTGATTTCCAGCTACAGATAAAACTTTTAATTCTATAAGTTCTTCTAATTTTAATGTTTTTATTTAAAAATTATTTATGCTTAATGCTTGTAAATTTTTAAATATCATAGCAACTTCTCTTATTTCTTGAGATCTCTCTTAAAATGTCAATATCTTTATATTAAAAATGGATTTATTAAGATTATGAAACACAAGATAAAAGTCTTATAAAGTGAAATTTTGCACCCCATTTAAAATAATTTCATCAGAACTTTGCGTTAACTATTTGGTTAATTCTTTAATTAACAATTAATGAGGTTTCTTCAATTAATGCTATTATTTCTACTTTGAAATATATTTACTATATATACATATTCTATTTCATTTTCTATATCAGTGATTTTAGCTAATAATTTCTTCTATGCTTCTTATAGGTTTTCTATTTTTAATCGAGGACTTTTTGATAGTCTTGTAACCTTATAACTTTACTATGTTTTTATTAGTTTTGTAGGATCATTATAAGATATTCTGATTTCTTATTTAACTTTAGTGTCACTCAAATCATTAATTGAATCAGCTAAAGAGTTCACACAAGTTGACTATTAATGATCCTATTAATGTAGATTACCAATTATTTAAAAGAAATCATCATAATTTAATCGCTTTTTCTTGAATTTATAGACTTCTTCAATAACTTCATCTAAAGAGAACAATTCCTCTTATGGATTTGAGATATCTAAGATTGTTTCATCTTTTAATTAATTAATGAGATCAGTAATGTTGAGAACACTATCTTTTTGAAATAATTTCTTAATGTGTATCAACCAATTAAGTTTAGATGAGCAAATTTCCATTGTTAGTTTAAATAAAATTAATTAATAACTATCATATTTGATATTTAGTTTGTAAAAGACCTTATAAAGACTTATTAATATTCATTATACAAATAAGAATAATATTAAAATTAAATGAAATGATATTCAAAGATAAGATAAAAGTATAAAAAAGAAATAAATTTATTAAAAAAAAAGGAATAAAAAACAAAAATAAATAAAAAAGAGTAATTCTTTTATAAAAAATGTAGTGAACTAAAATTAAGAGTAATGGAAGGTTGAGTAAATGTAACAAAAGGAGTACTCAAAAAAAAGAAATAAATATTCAGATTCAGAAGGATACTTTTAGAAAACTGATAATGGAATTGCCTATAAAAATAATTACAACCCTTACTTAGATGAGTGCGTTGAGAATTATAATAATAAATATAGTAAATCAGATTATGAGTTGAATTGGTATAATGGAAAAAAAGATAGAGAACCTAATGGTTAATTATAAGTAGTTTTAAATGGGAATATAGTAATGATATTGAAACAACAAATAAAGACAAACCAAAAAAGATAAAATAGAAAATATAGTGATTAAGAGACATATGCTATGAGTAATAGTATTTCTGGTCCAAAATTTAGTGATATTCCATGTCCATAATTTCTAAATATCTGACATGATTCAATTATTAAAAAATATAGAAATATTACATCTTTAAACTTCTAGTAATAAAGTATAATAATCAAAATTATCACAAAGTCATAACAGTATCAAGAATGAAGAATAATATTTCATATCAAATTTTTAAAGATATAAATTTAACTAAAAATGTTTTATTTGAGTTTACTATTTCTCATTAACTTATGTTCTGCTGATTTGGAGATCTTAGAAAATAAGAAATCTTCTGAAACATTTACAATTCACTAAGGAGAACCAAATATCATTTACTGGATGCCAGAAGCTGAAGATGCAATATTAATACCATTCTAAAATATGAGCTTCTGTTAAGTTAAACAATAAACAATTTAAACTGAAACTTAGCAATTTACTATAATATAATCGGATGATTTTAAAGAGTAAATTATGAGTATATATTTTATTTAGTTATGAATTTGAGATTGATACTCCATTAAATTTTAGAGAATTTGTTGGGATGGTACATATAAATGATGGAATGCTGGCAATAACATCAGATGCAATAGCATATTTAATAAAATTTAATTATGATAATGTTCTATAAAGTTCAGGATTTACAACTTATGGAAATTCTAAAGATTTTGCAGGTGTAATTTGGAAAGCTAACCTTTAACCAGTACTTCCTTCTATACAGTCAAGAGATGAATTACCTTAATTAGTGTATTCAAAAAAAAATAATTTGGCTTTTGTTATATATTCAGATAGTGCATAATACTTTAGTGTAACAGAAATGGAAAAAAATGAAAAAACCATGAACATAAATCAGATATTAAATTGGGTTTAAAGAGAGGAAAGAGGATTGACAAAAGAAATAGATGGATATTTGTTTTCAGCTGTTGGTAAAGAAGGAATGGATATCTATGAAATAAAAGAGAGTGATGTTATTTATAAATATACAGTAACATTTGAAGATTTCAAATTGTAAAAGGAGTAATTAGAATTAAAGGATTTTGCAGTATTTAAAGTTAAAGATGGATAATATTAATTATACTTACTTGATGCTAAGTAAGGCTTAATTTTAGCTTATATGTTTATAAATTAATAGGAATTTGAATTTGAATTAGTATATAATTTAGAAAGTTAGAAAGGTGGAATAGCTGTAGATACAAAGAATGGTAATAATGTATTTGCAGCCTTTGAATAGAATGGAATCTATTATTATATTGAATATCTAGTAGACTTTAGTCAGAAATCATGTTCAATAATAACAAAATAATAAATCAATTATAGAATACTTGATGTAGATGCTACAGATGAATTTGCTATTATAAGTGGTGTTAATCATCATTAGATTGTATTTAATAATGGCTATGATTTTCTTGCACCAAATAAAGAAAAGATCCTATTTACCCAAATAGGAATGAGAGATTTTTAATTTTTTCAATACACTTATGAAGAAGATCAATTAAAGGAGGCTGTTAAAGATGAATATTAATATGATGATTTCTTCTTTGGAGTAACTGCAACTAATGCTTTTTTGACCAAATTTCGATTTGTTCCTGCAAGAGTAGTTTGTTTTGCAGATCATAGTAATTATAACATTTATATTTAGATAATGAGGGATGGCAGAAATAATATTATACTTTATAATTCAATTCATCACATGTTGTTAACAATACCATTTCTAATAATAAGTTGATTAGAACTACAAAGAATTTCGCAGTACAAGTTGTAACTACTTATTTATTTGCTTAATAATGGAAACTAATAAGAATCTTACTCATAGTATTAGGAGGAATCATATTAACATCTAGTATATATATATAAATTTATGATTAAAGTTGGAATTGTAATCTATTAATTTAGAAAGTATAGAATTCAAGAGGCTAATCTGGATAGTGAGCTAAATTAATACAAATAAAAACCAGTCGATGAAAGTGGATCAAAACTTAATGATTCTTCAGTCATTATTAAGGTTTAAAAAGTCGAATGAAGTCAATCATTTAATGTTTATATTAATAATTGACTTAACATAATTATTTAAATCCTCAAAGATATTTGAATAATTAACAATAATTTGATATAAGGATTAATAAATAATTTGTTATATTCCTATTCAAACTCAATCCTAATCTATTAAATATTTGTTATTTATAAGTATTGTTTTATTAATTCACTTTGTTATTCAATTATTTAAATCATTGCCCACTTATTCAACAAGATTCCATTTTAGTCTACAAATACAAATAGAGAAAATAGGATCTCAAATTGTGAATCAACCTTTTCAATAGATTGGTTGATATAACTATCATAATGTTGAAGGAAATAAATTTTGAATAAAAATTATTATCAATTTAAAATATATAGGGAATGAAAAGGATGTAAAGCAAAGAAGACATAATTAAGGATTAATATATGAAAACTCTAACTTGCTTCTTACAAGATAGCACTCTATATGATTGCTTATCTATCAATAATCAAGTGACTGTGATTGATTAATCATTCTCTCTATTTGATGTTTTTAATGTGTTTATTGATACGCATATTGATGAAGTATTGTTTTGGAATCCAGATGTAGCTTATTATGATGGTGTATTCACTTAAACAGATTTGATTCGAATAATCCTTAAATGCTATCAAAATATTCTAAATGGTGTTCCTAATGGTAATCTCTAATGCATATTTTAGTCAGTGTGGGGAAATAGTAAAATATAGGTTTAGCCAATAATGGAAGAGGAAGATGAAGATCGTACTACTCCTGTGCATTAAAAATAATTAATAGGATAAGAGCAGATAAATAGATTGCTGATTGATTTAAGGACGATTTCAGTAAGAGACTGGTTCAATTCTTATGGAGAAAGTCTTCATTAAATAAGTCTGGTCTAGGCAGACATGGCTGATAATCTTAATGATGCAATGAAGAAGATATTAAAGTAGGGTGTAACAAGAATTGTAGTTATTGATACTGAATCTAGAATTATTGTGGGCATCTTATAATAAAAAGATATTTTAGCATTTCTTGTAAAAGGGTTTAGTTAATATTTCCATTTATAATTATCATAAAAATCACATAGAATTGAAGTTCATCATGAAAATAATCAACAATCAGAATAACATGAACTAGAAATCAATTACTTTAGTGATAGGATTTTATAATTGAATGATAAACTTCCTTTTGACACTAATGTATATGAGTAATCATATCTATATATTTTTTAGTGTATTCTATAAATTGATCTATGTATTTAAACGTAATGCTATCCCCATTGTTGATAATAACAATAAGTATTTAGGATTGATAGACAGAAGAGACTTTTTATTTATTCTCAAATATTAAGTATTCGACATGGTATAACTCAATAATATGAATAGTTGAATAGACCTGCTATAGATTTGTTGAACTTTATTAAAGTTGAGAAAAAAAAGTTTGCAGGTTTTTGTATATGCAATAAAGAACTATTCCACATGAAACAAACATTAAAAGAAGTATTATCACATTACAATTAGGTTGTTGAAAATTTATTACTCTCTTCTAGAGGTAGTTTAGTTTGCTTGAATGAAAGTTAAGAGCCAATTGCTACATTATAAATGTCTGATCTCTTCAAAATTTGTTTAGATGATATCGAATTAGAATGAATTTATATTATCATAAATATGTGTATATATTTAAATGAATAATTATAGATTCCCATAATCAACCACTATCCCTGTATTCAACACTATCACTTAAGAGTCATTATATATTAAAATCACTCCTCATTTTAAAGAGTTCTTAATCACTTTAAATGAATAAGTTTTGCTCCCTGAAAAGTTTAAAATGTGCTATCGTTTTAATATTAAAGATAGAATCATTGATTTGGCTTGTCCAATAGACTATTAATTATACATAGAGAGATTATAAACCCTTAAAAATGAGTAATTAATTCTATTGATAAAATTAGGAGTTTTCCTTTGGTTTAAATCATTAGTTTAGAATAAGATAGCTATTTATCTAATGAGATGATTGAATAAGATGAGGAATGGCAAGAAAGTCTATCAAAAGGCTATTTCAAAATAAATTCAGAGATTTAAGAAATCTAATAATTAAATGAATAACTTTAACAAATGTCAATATCTGAAATCCATTAAATTGATTATCATAAATGTTACTTTTGTGATGATAATTTGGAAAATAAAAAATAATTTAGATGCATAATATGCGATGACTTTTAGATTTGTGAGGAATGCAATACTCATAAGAGAGAATAAGAACATCCTAATAATCATATATTTATTTAATGTAATCATGTGATAGAATGGAATAAACTTAAATAAGATTCATACATTAAATTAATGAAACAAAAAGTAGATCTCTTAAAATACTTTAAAATACATTCAGTTAATATTCATGAATAAATTACATGTGATGGTTGTGAAAATTCACCAATTTTAGGTTATCGTTATTAATGCTGTGAATGCTCAGATTTTGATTTATGTAAAATTTGCATCAAAGAGTTCAAACATGATGAAACTCATAACTTTATTTAATTAACAACAAACATTGAGTTTTTGTAATTACAATGATTAATTATAAAATAATTTATGAGTTAAAAATTTGAAGAAATTGCAAGACTTACAAGAAGCACTGCTATCTTTAAAGCTAATTATGTGCCATTAACTTTGGTAGGGGCATCCCTAATTTCATTTATTGCCTGGTCAAAATTGCCTTATGGCTAAGCTTTTCCTCATTTAACAATTTCAGAATATGTGCCTAAGAAATAATATTTTCATTCCTTGATTTTGGCTCCCTTAAATTTTTAGACTAATGTATATTTAATAAATAACTTATTAGGGACATTTATTAGTTTACGGCCCAGCTATGTTATACTCTTTTTATTAAATGAGTACAGTTTTATGCAATGCTTAATTTTTGGCCTTTTATATCATTAATTCTCTTATATGCTCTTCATTTACAGTTTATTATGAGAAAAAAAGAAGTGCAGAAAATGGTATCAATTTAATGTCTCCAAAATGTGTATCAGCAACTACTCCTTTAAGTTTTATGACCTCTTTAATGGTATTGAAACCTCATTTAAAATTATTAAATAAAGTATACACTATTATTATTGTAGCCTCCACTCCCATTTTTTTTAGTTCCTGCTATGTATGGTATGTATGAATTGTAAGAATACTAAAATGGATTCATTAATGAAGTATGTAGACCAACTCACATTTTAGCCATGATTAATGGATTAATATTGGGACTCATTTTTAAAAGATTCATTTGAATTCTATCTTTTGTTTAATTTGAAATCAATGAATTCAATTTCGAAAATTATTAAGATATTTAAAAAGAATATTAACTATATAATTATTTCTTTATTAAATAGTTGTATATACTTCATTTGAATATATATTCAGAACATATTATTAATTACTTATATTACCATATAATTTATTTAATTTATTATTATTGTACTAAATAATCATAATGATCATGATCTGTATAGATTTGGTCTTTTGGCTTTAAATACGGTTCTGAATTTCTTATGACTAGCTCTTGGAACTGTCTTAACAATTGGGAATCTAATTGAATCTCCCTATATAATTTGTGATTTATTATACTCTGTATTAATTAGTCTTTCCTCTCTTGATATCAGCACTCTTTGTTAAAACTGAAGTTCTGAGAATGTGTATAGTTTATGGTTAAGCTCTGTGATTTCCTGCCATTTCCTAATCTAGAAAAGTCACTATTTGTTGATACATAATTATGAGACAGCACCATTCAATGTAGTATCTCTAAATTCCTTATACATATTGTGGATAGTTGTTCTGGATTAATATTTAAGAACTATTCCGTAAGTTTTGACATTTGTGTCTCTTCTCTCAAATAATTCTTAAACTGCTAAAATCTAACCATGAGAAGGTTTAAGTTTATTTAATCTTCTTAAATTCCACCTAGAATATTGCATTAATTAAATACCAGAATCTGCTTTTTGCAGCAACTGTATTTCTTGCAAATATTCTCATGCTAATAACTTTTGGATTAGGATCTTCTTTTGAAGGGAGTCTTCTACCTGAGACCAAGTATTGTCTAATCTAAAGATTTTATTCTTCTTATGTACTTTCATTTATAAGGAATTATCTTATGGGTCTTATGCTGAGTTTTTAACCATTTTTTATTTTAAAAAAGATTTAATTTATAATGCAATTATTTATTACAAACAATGGATTCTCATTTTAACATATATTTAGAAAATATCTTCTAACTTATTAATCGCAATATTTCACTTCTTTTTGTATATCAATTCTACTTATAGCTTTTAAATATGTAAAATTCGCATACATCTTCAAAATAGAACATAAAAATCACAAATTCTGATGATGAATATTGAACTTATTGATTATTTCTGTAAAATTAATTTATTAATTATCATCAAGAATGTAATAAATTTCTCAAACGATTTAAAATGAACAAAGTAATAATTTAGTCAAAAAAATTAATATTAGCCAGTATCCAATATTTTAGTTATGCTGAAATTTAAAATTTAAAGTTAACTAATAAAAGTAGTCAATTTATAGATTAATTCAAAAATTTCGATGCTGATATATTATGCTTATAAGAGGTTGATAATCTTAAATTTTATCAAGAACCTAAAGATAAACTTAATTATGATATCTGCTACTTAAAAAGACCTGATTGACCAGATGGATGTTTAATTGCTTATAAAATTGAGAAATTTAAACTTCTGAAATATTCAGAGTATTCCCTTAATTAGAGGGCTGTAGATTACGGTTTCCTCAGTAATATCATAGACAAAATATGTTTTAAATTGTCAAATTGGAACACATGTAAATATTTTTTAGATATAATAAGATTAACAAAAAAACATTCTTAATAGGAAACATACATGCATTTTGGAATCCAAACCAAGATGATTTAAACTGATCAATTCCATAAATTTACTAATTATACACAAAATGTAAATTCTTATTTTAAATATTGTTTTAATGATACATTGATTACGTTTACTATCATAATGCAAAAGTAGAAAATATTTTAAGAATTCCATAAGAAAGCTTACTATAACAAGAAGTAGCTCTACCTAATATTAAATTTCTAAGGGATCATTTGCCTATTTTAGCATATTTTAATTCTCGCTATTGATACATAATATCATTATGATTATAAAGTTTTTAGCATACTCATTTTTTGTATAAATTATTGTCTCAAGAATAAGTAATAGGTATTCAATTGTATACTTAACAGTTGATCTCACCTTCTTAGCATCATCACTTCAAAAAGTTAATATTAAATGATTTCCTAATTTATTGATAAAATTTACCATTTCTATTTATTTTTAATGCGCAATTATCTTTATCAACTAATAAAACTTATTTAATTAATTTGAATACTTCTATTCAAATTGATATTAAATTAATATTTGTTTTGTTCTCTTTCAATTTCTTAATGCATTTAATAATTTATTATAAATTAATTATTATCTTGTAATCTATTACTTAAATTAAAATAAAATAGAAATAATGCTGCTATAACAAAGTATAAATATTGTCCAGGATAAATAATCAGTCAATTAAATAGTTTATAATAATTATTGATAAAGCAATGGATTGAAAAACATATAATTAAAAATGATTAAAAATTGTTTATAAAAATGATTTGAACTTTTTTTATATTGATTATCAAATTTATTCTAACAGTAAAATCTCTAATTGTTTTCAAAAGGTCTTTTAATTTTAATTTTGCTTGTTTATTTACATTGTTTATAATACTATTCTTTTTGATGCTGATCTTAGACTTATTAATAATTTATTAATCACATTATGAAAAATTCACAGAAATGCTCGAACTATCAGAACGAAGCTTATAATAAATTAGAAATTACTTCATCATAAGTGTTAAAAGGGAAAATAATTGAGAAGGATGAATAGGTCAATTATTTCGAAATACATTTAGATAAATGATTAGTAAAGTTCTTGTACATAATCGTTTAAGATTGAAGAGATAAATCTTTAATTACTAATAGATAAATCATAAGAAAAATTGCAACAATAGGAATAATTATAACTGCACTCTCCAACAGGTCGAAATAGATCAAATTCGTTTGAAGACTTATAATAGAAATTAAATGATTATATTGAGCAATATATTTAAGACATTAAAGAGCCATAACATTTTTTAGACACGTATTCGTTATAAAACTCTGAAATTTGCGATGATGAATTTTCATCACAATCTATCGATTTATGCTAGAGAATATATTAAGTAGAAATAAATTAATTTATTTTTTTAGAGAATAATAGCTCAACTAAATCTATCAGTTATATAATCTAATTCAATTGAATAGTCTACTACTAAGTCATCACCTAAAAATAATGATTCAATTCAGATAATGAATTACATGACTACATCTACTCCTCTAACTCCAGTATAATTAGAAGATGTTCCAAAAAAAAATATTACAAACTCATCAAGTTAAGATTAAATAGGATTTAAAAATAGTTGGTATTCTTTGAAGTCTTGAATTTAATATATAACTAAATGTTTCATTATTTTTTTGTTTCATCATTTAAATCCTATTCTAATATCAAAACTAATTGATCTTGCCATACGATATTATAAGTTCTTAATGCGATACTATAGAAAATTAGCTTTCAAATTAAATTTAGCAAGAATAATAATTAAATGTTGTCAGAAACAGTTATTTAATAATCTCCAGCAAAGAAAATTATCAAAAGAATACAAGGATTAAAAAAAAAAGGAATTTTTACATAAGATGAATAAAATAATTTTCAGGATGAACATAAACAAAGTTTAGAAGATAGACTAAAAATGTAAAATTATCTAAAAGAGGCTAAGGAAGACCTTATGAAAATTGCTAATCAAAATAAAGATTTCATGATATTCTCATCTTATGAAGAAATGTCCAAACACAGAGAAAAAAGAAGAAATGAAGAATAACAAATGATTTTTAAACCTTTACAATTTCCAACCAAAGGTGGATCTGTAATAAGATGTAAAAAAATTTAGTAAAATACGACACCAGAAGAAATGAATGCAAACTATGGTATATTAACTTTAGATTAGAAAATCAAAGCAAATAAAGCATATACTGATAGATAAGAAAGCAATTCCCCAAATAAATTTGATTTTACAGAGAAATTTCATCATATAGAAGGAAAAATTGCAAAACAAAATAGAATAGAAATCATTAAAGAATATAGTAAAATTTATAAAAGAGTTCAAATAAAGCCAATTCCAAAATAATTAAATGAATCTCAATATACTTCAAAATATAGATAGGCAGTTTAAAAAGTCTAAGTAATAAATCACAGAAAAAGTGGAAAAAACATTTTACCCGTTTTATCTGTTGAGAAAAAAGAATCAGTAGAATCTATTCTATCAGATCTGAATTATAGTAGATGGTCATTAGAGTAAGATGTTAGTTATTAGCATATTCCAGACCAAAAAATAGGATTATAATAAAGATTAGGTGGTGGATTTACAAAATTAAACAAAGAAAAATATTTAGAATACTTTTCTAAATGAATTTTATGATTTTATCTTTTTATGTGTTAATGTACCTAATTAAAAATGAATTATGTTTCAATCAATTAAATTAAGTTAGATTTATTTTCATATTTATTCTTTAAGCATAAAGCAAAATTATTATAGTTCAATTTGTAATCAAATTCATTTTCCTTATCACAACTTTCGTGTGCTTTTAGATGTGTAAATTCTCCAAATTTAGATTTACTCGGCTATTATCTGGCCTAAGAATGAACTCATTAAAATTGTTAATGAAATCTAATAACATTTTAATATTAAATAATCATATATTTTAACATAACTATATAGTAAAATATTTTAAATGGATTGTGCTTTTAAATTTATAGAGTTATATTAAACATGATAACTTTTAAATCAAAAATCACATAAAGTAATTTGAGAGAATTTTATTCTAAAGAATAAGAATACAAAATACTTTACTTTAGTTTATTTAATTATATTCCTCAATGAATTATTATTTATAAGGTATTTTTTAATCCGTTTTTATTAATATTAATTTTAATGAAATTCACAATTTGTTTCTTATTGGGATTGGTAACACTTAATGCAGTCTTCGTCAAAAAGCCATCTGATCCAAATGCAGTTGTCTTTGCTGAATTGGAAGAGGTAATTAATTTCATTGAAATTAATAGATTGAAGAACACGCATTAGGAAGAAAATTACTTGATACAATTGCTCTATAAATGAAAAATTAAGCTCCATTGGCTGATATTGCTAGAATGCTTTAAGAATTGAGAGAAAACTTATTATTATAATAATAATAAGCTGAATTAAAACATGCTGCTGATGAAGCTGATTGTGCTGCTGAAATTGCTGGTTACAATAGAAGAATCGATTATGCTTCCAATGAAATCAGTGAATCAACAACTGAAATCACAGCCTTATCTGCTTAAGTCTAATAATTGGAAAGTGAAATTGAAAACATCTAAGTGTAATTGGGAATTCTTAACGATTAAGAAGAAACATTGAGAACTCAAAGAGCAAAAGATGCTGAAGCTTTTACTCAAAGAATTAAGTCCACAGCTGATGTTGTTGAAGCCTTGAACGTTGTTGCTGCAAAATTATCAGCTATTCAACCTGAATAAGATCCAAAAGCTGTCTTCTTAGAATTACATAACATGGGTAAGAGTAACCCAATTGCTGCTTTGGTTTCAATTGCCTCGGCATTCTCAAAGGAAAGATTATAATAAACATAAGACAAGATTGCTGAACTTAGATAATCAATTGAATAATCAGCTGTTGATGACTAAGAAGCTGANTCAAATTCATTTTCCTTATCACAACTTTCGTGTGCTTTTAGATGTGTAAATTCTCCAAATTTAGATTTACTCGGCTATTATCTGGCCTAAGAATGAACTCATTAAAATTGTTAATGAAATCTAATAACATTTTAATATTAAATAATCATATATTTTAACATAACTATATAGTAAAATATTTTAAATGGATTGTGCTTTTAAATTTATAGAGTTATATTAAACATGATAACTTTTAAATCAAAAATCACATAAAGTAATTTGAGAGAATTTTATTCTAAAGAATAAGAATACAAAATACTTTACTTTAGTTTATTTAATTATATTCCTCAATGAATTATTATTTATAAGGTATTTTTTAATCCGTTTTTATTAATATTAATTTTAATGAAATTCACAATTTGTTTCTTATTGGGATTGGTAACACTTAATGCAGTCTTCGTCAAAAAGCCATCTGATCCAAATGCAGTTGTCTTTGCTGAATTGGAAGAGGTAATTAATTTCATTGAAATTAATAGATTGAAGAACACGCATTAGGAAGAAAATTACTTGATACAATTGCTCTATAAATGAAAAATTAAGCTCCATTGGCTGATATTGCTAGAATGCTTTAAGAATTGAGAGAAAACTTATTATTATAATAATAATAAGCTGAATTAAAACATGCTGCTGATGAAGCTGATTGTGCTGCTGAAATTGCTGGTTACAATAGAAGAATCGATTATGCTTCCAATGAAATCAGTGAATCAACAACTGAAATCACAGCCTTATCTGCTTAAGTCTAATAATTGGAAAGTGAAATTGAAAACATCTAAGTGTAATTGGGAATTCTTAACGATTAAGAAGAAACATTGAGAACTCAAAGAGCAAAAGATGCTGAAGCTTTTACTCAAAGAATTAAGTCCACAGCTGATGTTGTTGAAGCCTTGAACGTTGTTGCTGCAAAATTATCAGCTATTCAACCTGAATAAGATCCAAAAGCTGTCTTCTTAGAATTACATAACATGGGTAAGAGTAACCCAATTGCTGCTTTGGTTTCAATTGCCTCGGCATTCTCAAAGGAAAGATTATAATAAACATAAGACAAGATTGCTGAACTTAGATAATCAATTGAATAATCAGCTGTTGATGACTAAGAAGCTGAAGTTTAAGCTTAAATTGATTACTAAAACATGTTGGCTTAATTCGCCGATTAAAGAAAGAATTTGTAAATTTACTTTTAATCATTTTAGCTAAAATGCTTTAAAAGATAATGAAGCCAAGTTAACCTAAACTTAAAATGCTTTGGGAGCATAAAAAAAGAGAAAGGAAGATGCTGGTAGAGAATTAGCCACTGCAACTGCTGGAAAGACTTAAAAGGAAAATGACTGTGAAGCCCTCAGAACCTAATATGCCAGAGATAGTGAATAAAGAACCAAGGAAATTGGAATCATCAGATAAGTTGAAGAAATTTTGGCTACTAAATTAGAAGGTGCCTCAGGATACTTAAAGAACAGAATTAATTGATTTGGTTTTATTCAAATAATTCTTACAATTCATCTATTGTTTAGTAGATTAATTCACCATGATTTAAAAAGTTTATAAGATCATGATATCATAAGTTCCAATTCTCCTCGAATAAACTTTATTTTACATTTATTTACATTAAATTTAATTAGCTCTATATTCTTATCACAATTATTATGAACTATCAAAATTAATTATATAACACTTCAAATAGTAAATCTATTCTTTTAATTTTTATTCCAAAATGTCAGAAGCAAAAAACCAATAAGAGAATAATCAAGGTGATTAATAGCAAGAAAATCCATAATAAAAAAACAATGGGGAATCAACTTAATAAAATCAACAAAGTTAAGAGAATCAAAATGAAAAAAAAGAGGAATAACAAGGCCAATAGTAAGGAGAATAATCATAAAAGAATGAATCTGAGTTGGTGGAACCAAAAAAAGAAAAAGGTTATATTTTGATATTTACAATATTAGGTCCTTATGATATTGATGAAGCAGATTTAACACCAAGATTTGTTAGGGCAATGTAAGTGCTAGGGTACACGTATTAAGATTTACAAAGAAAATAAAGAAAAGATATCATTAATATCATAAAAACTAAAGGTATATATTCACTTATAGATGTAGATCCATTGGGAAATAAAATAAATTAAGAATTAATAGATGCTCTATCTAATCATTTAGAACATTCAAGAAAATAAAAAATTAATGAAATAAGAAAAGAAATATAATACATACCAATTCCAGAATAGAAATAATAGTAGTCACTAGCAGACTAATCTATTATGTAGTCTTCAATAGCAGAAAAGTCGATAATTCTAGATAAATCAATTGTATCAATGAGTAAATCAATATTGACTAAATCATTGTCCCCTTTAGAATTAGAATTTAAGTTGTATGATAAAATAAAAAAGAAAGAAAGAGCAGAACTACACAAAGCAAAAAAGGAAGAGGAAATATTATCAAAATAAATTGAGTATTAGCATAAGCAACAGGAATTGGAAGAGAGATTAGAAAAACATAGATAACAAAAGATAAAATAAAAACATATGTAAACTCAATAATAGTAGGAGATTTAGAAATGGTTACACAATCGATCAGATGCTGAATCATCTAATTTCAATTAAGCAAAGTAAATTGTAGAAAATTTGAAGAATGAAATAAAGGATACTCAATAATAAAGAATGTATTTGAATCCTAGAGAGAAAATAGAGAAAGTTAAAAGCATGAATGATTTAAGAATCAAAGAACTAGAAGATTTATAGCGGAAAAGGGAATAAAATATGATGGAAAGACTTGAAAAATTATAAGAATTGTCATAAAAAGTAGATAATGAAAAAAACATGAAAACATTTTAAGAATTATAAAGAGAGCTCAAAGGGTTACTAAAATAAGAGAAAGTTTAGATTCGATAAGAAATGTTAGACGAATATCATAATTATATGAAATAATAGCATTAAACTGAAGATTAAAAGAGGATAATTTAGGTGATAAAAAATAAAGTAATTATTTATTAATTCTTAGACTCGTAAAGAAGTTTAATAAGAAATGTATAAATAGTCCTTAGAAATTAAGTCATAATAACTTGATAAGAAATTAGAAAAATTTAAGTAATTGCAAACAGAAAGCCTGAAAATCAAGTCATCATCTGCTGTTTCATTTCCTAAACATGTGTCAGCCAATAATTTCGGGCAAATGAAGGCAGAATATGAGAGAAGAATAGGATTTTAGGATGATTTAATTAGGGAAATTGAGAGAACTGAAAATATATAAAAAAGATAACGAAAAGAAGAATAAATGAAATAAGATATGAAATTATTAAAAGAGGCTCGAAATACAGAAAGTAAAGAATTAGAAATATCAAAAATATCTAATATTGTTAAAGATATGAAATAATTTGAGAATAGTAATATGGCTAGTACAAAAAGATAGTTGGCCTAAATAAAAAATTTACATCATGAACGCGAATTATGTATTTATAAAGAATTAATTTAGAAATTATAAAGGAAATAGAAGAAAGAAAAAAGAGGGATGAGGAACAAAGATAAAAATAAGAAAAATTAGATTATGAGAAAAAGAAAGAAAGATTAAGAAAGAATATTGATTAATATAAAGAGCAAATATAAAGTGAAGAAAAAAAGAAATAATAAGAATAAGAATAATAATCATGAAATATTATAATTATAAAGGATTCAAATAATTAAAACACTAATTTAACTATTAATCTCATCAACTTTATAATTGAAATATTCCTTTTTTTGATTTACTCATTATGTTATGCAATCTCATCACCAAAATCTTATGTTTAATATATTTCAAGAGTATATTGTTGCTCTCAAGCACAAATGATTATATAATTTTAATTAAATGAAAGATTGTAACATAAGCTTCTAAAATAAACCAGCCTTAGTTATTTCTAGAATATACAAATCAGACAGTAGATTTCAATTACCAAAAATAAATTAATTTCAATCATAATACCAAACAATATTTATTACAATGAATATTTCACTGAAGTAAGGGGAATTAAAGCTTTGCCAGATAAGCAAAAATAAAATTCAGAGAGAAGATTAAAATATAGACTTAAAGAAATAGAAGTGAAAAACAAACAACTAAAATCCCTTTCAACTAAGCATCTTTAAAATGAACAAATAGAAAAGAAGGAGATTAATAATTTAATACTAGAACCATATTTTGTTTAAAACAACTTGAAAGCAAAAAAATATAGAATTGGAGCATTTTAACATGATTTATAATAACAATCTTTTGGGTTTTCTCCAAATTCCAATATCAATCATAAATAAGAGAAAGAAACTAGGAAACCTCGGTTTTTTTTTTAAGTAACACATACTGAAAAAGTAAAAAATTCTAAATTAACTCAAACAGAAAATGATCATTTAATAACAGATTAAGAGTATAATTTTTGGAAAAATTATGATTTAGATTAGGAAGAAGATGAAGATTTTATTAATAACTATGTTAATGGATTACTTTGATTAATAACTATGTAAACTTTCGGAATTTTGAGTATTTGTAATTTAAATTATTTTTTTCAATTTCTTTACATTTTTTTGATTGGTCATCAATTAATTATTTCTATAAACCTTGAATTTATATTATTTTATATAATATAAAAATTCAGGAAACTTGCAAGGATAGACTATGTCTTTGATTCATAAGACGTCCAAAGAGCTTAATGAAACATCTTATAAAAAAAATAAGCTCATTGGTATTATGTAATCTAACTCAGAAATAACTTAGATTGATGAAAAAGTAAATTCATAATCTAACTTACTTTATAGATACTAAAATAGAGAAACAAAAAATTCATAATACAAAAATAACTACAGCCCAAATAGTAAATATAACAATAAATCCTTAGTTTTAGATAATTCAACTTTAATATTGTTGACGGAGAAATGTTAAATAGAATCAATTATGAAGGCTCCTTATATATAGAGTATGTAAAAATATTACTGAATTGAAAAATTTTAATAATAAAGGAATTCTATTCGTAGGAGGGGATACATAGTGCGAAAGTTTTATCTAGCAATACCGATATGTAGAAATATTTTTTTCAAAGATTTACATTGAAAATAGTAAATTCTTAAAGTTAAGAAATAAGAAAATTCAATTACTTTCGTAATCAGCATGTTAGAAATACTAAGAATATTATTTTTAACGATATTGATGTGAGTACAAAGGTGGAGAGAACGCAATTATTTTGACTTTATTTATATTCTTAAATGAATGGAACTATTAATAGTGAATACTTTATATTAGTACCAAAATGAACTACCTGTCATTTTATTTTGAGACATTATTTTTTTGATAAAACTAGATAATGCCTATTGCAGACGAACCATAAAAGAGAAAGTATACATCAAACTTTCTATACCAACAACTATTGAAGATCAAAATTTCTAAATCAAATTAGAAAATTTTAAAAGAGCTAATTTTCAAAATTCGTTACTATTGAAGCCCTGATAAAATGATACCTTCATAAAATGTTTTATTTCAAATAGCTTTATAATTCTTAGAAATAAAATTAAGTAAGTTATAAGTAAAGGCATAAAAGAGAGCTGGTGAAAAATTGCTTTAAAAATATAAAAAGTGATTAAATATCTTATTTTTTGAAATTAATATAATGTCGGGAGAATAGCCTATACTTAAAGCATCTAATGTAAAATTAGACACAATTGTATTTTTAACATCAATATTAGGCAGCAATAAAAATTATTAAACTAGCTAATGATAATCCAATTATTCATTAGTATGGTTATCTCTTAGGAATTTTTGAAGGTGAAACTATTGAAGTTACTAATTGCTTCCCTACTATTGATATGGATGAAGAATAAGATCAATAGTATGAATATTTAGATTATGCAAAAAAACATCATTTGGACTTTCACAAGCTTGGTTTATATCTCATCACTGATTAAAATAAATATTTTACTTTAGGTTAATTTGATGATATCAATAGACTATAATTCTTTGTTAAATACACCTTTATCTTAGTATATTCCTTGTAATTGGCAAAATCTGGTCATTCATATCCATTATATGCATTTTTGGTATTTTATAGATTAATGAGAAATATTCAGAAATTTATTCTAAAGATGAATTTTCAATGTTGGATATAAAGAATGATAAATTATACAGATAACTTCCTATAGAATTACTCAAAACTCAATTAACAGAAGTAAATCAAATTCTTATTAGGCTATTTTGCATCAATACAGAACCTCAATTGAAGAGAAATTTGAGTATGAAGAAACAAAATTCACCTCCAATATGTCAAATTATGGTAGATAGTTAATTGAAACAATTGAAGAATAGGTGAATTTATCAGATAAAATCAATTCGTCTACTTTGAATAAAAAGGAGGGAAATAATGTAATTAATTAAAGCTAATTATTAAGTAGCCTGAATTATTAGAATATTTAATATCCATGAATAAGCTTTATTATTTAGCAGAAGCAATTAAAAAAGAAACATAATTTACAATAGAAACTGAATAAGTTTTGAAAAATATATGAAAAAATAATTGATAGTACATGCGAACAGTTTAAGCAATTATTGTTTTTCAAGCAATTTGAATTTTTCCTTTTTAATCAAATTTTGAAAAATATTAATCATAAAATAAATTTTGCTGTTTAGTAGAATATTATTTAATATTATTGAAAATTATTTTATAGCTTTAAAATATTAATAAATATATTTATATAATAAATGTATATTAAAAGTATTGTTTTTTTTTGTTTAATAAATAACATAATTCAATCATAAAGGAATTCTTTCGTTAATGTTAATCAATTAGGATTGTCAGTAGAAATTAATTGGAATTCAACATAATTAATGGACTGAAAATCTTATCAAAATCTAATTTTGAGTTGTTGCTAGTTTCATCAATTTGAAATATAAAATTTTTATATGTTTTTAATATATTATTTATGAAACTTCTTATGTAGGACAATATCTATCTTGGGATAGCTAATTATTAAATAATTTAAGAATTTCTTATTCGATAATTTTATATGTTTTTGCATAATTTTATTGACATTACTTGATTAAAGCATCCTACTCTCCTGTTGGTTAAACTTCTTAAATAGCTTTCGCATCTAATTGAAAACCTTGTGAGGCAAATCAATTTTAAACAATATACATTTATTAAAACAAATAGTAATTATTTCTTTTGTTTGAAAATTAAATTATATATTAATAAGTTCTCTTACAATTTTAAGTATATCAAATAAATTATTATCATTTTATCCTCATTTTTTATGATTATATCGATATAAAAAATTATTATATAATCATTTCTTTAATGATTCAGAGCGTAATTTTTTTTAATTGAATTTAACAAAATTTTAATGCTTAGATAAAATTTTTGCATACAAAGGTTAATTAGAGTTGACTATGAAAATATGAATAATATTTACTCAAATTATTAAAATTATAGAAACTCTTTGAGAAAGAGCCATTCATATCTGGTTGACTGATTAAGACCTTTCCTTCAGAGTGATATGGGCTACCTCGTGTTTTAGCCTTGCTACTGCTTCTTGAAACAGAAATGTTTTTATTCTAAGATAGACTTCTTGAGTGAACCATTTAATAATTTTTGAGATCTGGAGTTTTCGATTTCTTAACACCTAACTTAGGCTTAGAATTTTATTAGATCGAATGAGGTTATCTATTTATATATTTAGGATTAGATACCCGTAAATATCGCTGATGTCAGTTTGCCTTTAAATTCTTATAATATCTTAAGTGTTGAAATATTAGGTTTAGGCAATTTTTTTAGAAACTGATTCACTTCGTTAATCTAATCTAGATTTACATCTGACTTATTATTGCTAATTAACTGGTTATTTGTATANAAAAGTATTGTTTTTTTTTGTTTAATAAATAACATAATTCAATCATAAAGGAATTCTTTCGTTAATGTTAATCAATTAGGATTGTCAGTAGAAATTAATTGGAATTCAACATAATTAATGGACTGAAAATCTTATCAAAATCTAATTTTGAGTTGTTGCTAGTTTCATCAATTTGAAATATAAAATTTTTATATGTTTTTAATATATTATTTATGAAACTTCTTATGTAGGACAATATCTATCTTGGGATAGCTAATTATTAAATAATTTAAGAATTTCTTATTCGATAATTTTATATGTTTTTGCATAATTTTATTGACATTACTTGATTAAAGCATCCTACTCTCCTGTTGGTTAAACTTCTTAAATAGCTTTCGCATCTAATTGAAAACCTTGTGAGGCAAATCAATTTTAAACAATATACATTTATTAAAACAAATAGTAATTATTTCTTTTGTTTGAAAATTAAATTATATATTAATAAGTTCTCTTACAATTTTAAGTATATCAAATAAATTATTATCATTTTATCCTCATTTTTTATGATTATATCGATATAAAAAATTATTATATAATCATTTCTTTAATGATTCAGAGCGTAATTTTTTTTAATTGAATTTAACAAAATTTTAATGCTTAGATAAAATTTTTGCATACAAAGGTTAATTAGAGTTGACTATGAAAATATGAATAATATTTACTCAAATTATTAAAATTATAGAAACTCTTTGAGAAAGAGCCATTCATATCTGGTTGACTGATTAAGACCTTTCCTTCAGAGTGATATGGGCTACCTCGTGTTTTAGCCTTGCTACTGCTTCTTGAAACAGAAATGTTTTTATTCTAAGATAGACTTCTTGAGTGAACCATTTAATAATTTTTGAGATCTGGAGTTTTCGATTTCTTAACACCTAACTTAGGCTTAGAATTTTATTAGATCGAATGAGGTTATCTATTTATATATTTAGGATTAGATACCCGTAAATATCGCTGATGTCAGTTTGCCTTTAAATTCTTATAATATCTTAAGTGTTGAAATATTAGGTTTAGGCAATTTTTTTAGAAACTGATTCACTTCGTTAATCTAATCTAGATTTACATCTGACTTATTATTGCTAATTAACTGGTTATTTGTATATATATTGCTCAGTATCAGATTTAACTACAATAGTATTAGAATTGGGTTCATTTTTACTCTATTTATAAGTTTAATAACTAGAAAAATTAGTGCTAATTAAATTTTTAGACTTTTTAGTTATGATTCCCTTATATAGGGCATCTCTATAATCTTATAGCTTAAGTTTTTTGTTATCATTAAATGGAATAGTAATGTATTAATCTAATATTATTTCTTATTCTGTTTGTTTGAAATCTTTTAGATATGGATGATCTAAAGCCAATTCAGCTGTCAGTCTATTTTTTGGATTGTAAACTAACAATTTCTAATTATTCTATAATTTTTACTTTAAAAAATCAATTTGGAGATCATTGGCCTTTGGAAAAAATTTTGGGTAACTGAATTGCTTTTTGCTTTCAATTTACTCAATAATTTGATAACCCATAGGAGCATTGATTGATTCCAATTCAGATATAGTAGGTTTTCCAATCAATTAAATAATTTTGTCAATTTAATCCAAAGTTGAAGTTCCTTTTGATAATAGTATTCATACCTGCAAAGCATGCTTTACCAAGTATCATTTCTCCTAAAATGCAACCGACACTCCACATATCGACAGCAGTAGAATAATAATTAGATCCAAATAGTATTTCAGGGGCTCTATACCATCTAGTTGCTACATATTCTGTCATAAAAGGCATTTCTAAAAATATAAAAATTATTTACCATGATTATTTTCTGTCTCAGATAGACACCTTGATAATCCAAAATCAGCCACTTTGATATGGCAATCTGCATTTATCAAAATGTTCGCTGGCTTCAAATCTAACTATCCAGAATGAATGTATTTGAGACTTTTCAGAATTTAATACATCACATATTGGATATGCATATTATTTAACAATTCTGCTCTGATAACCTATTTTGTAATATTAAAAAACAATTACTCGATGCAAATCTGTTTCCATATACTCAAAAACCATGTATAAGACTTTGTTGTTATCTGCCCTTATGACAGATATTAATTTTACTATGTTCTCATGAGTATTTAATTATTTCAAAAATATAACTTCCCTGTAAGTTCTCTACGCATCTGTAGAATTTTGAAAAGCATCAAACACCTAGCTTATTTTGAAAATAAAACTTTTTTCAATGCAACAATTTATTTGGTTTTTGTATCGTACGCCTTCCATACAATCCCATAAGCTCCCTTTCCTTTATATTCTTACAAATCAAATCTTTTTAATATATGATCCTCTACTTCACTTTGATCCTCTTCCTTCGACATTGAATGTAATTTTAACTATCAAATTATTAAATCAAATAACAACTAATAAATCAACAACCTCAAAATTTCTTAAGGCTTTTTTTTCACCTTATTATTATTTTTTCATTTGAAATCGAACTTCATAAGCTTTTTTAAATATTTGATTCTAACAATAGTAACAAAATATTTTATAAGAGTTTTAATTGCTTCTAAAATTTAAAAAAATGCCTCGCCTTTTTATTTAATAGTTTCTAATTGGCCTAGTTTAAAACTACATCTCTATTATAAAATGCAGTTTATTTTTTGTTTCTGTTTTTTTATAAGCTTAAAAATTAGCAATCTCTCATTTTTTTACTTCCCCACTCCAAAACAATATTTTGCTTATCCATTAAAAAAGCATAGTAAGATTTTTGAGTTTAACTTAAGTAAGAATTGCAATTAGGTTATCTCATGAGATGATTTGGCTTATGCTAAATCAAATATGTTGCATTTCAAGAGAAAAGCTAAGAGCCATTAGGTAATAGTTTAAATATATTGAAATGATATTTCCCGAAACTACTGAAAAAAAATCGCTTGTAGTTTATCTATGATTTTTCTGTCAAAAAATTTAACCATTTTGGAAAAGTAATGAACATATTCTCAAAACTTAGGAAACTGCATTGTTGCTGAAAATATTTAATTAATCAAATTCAATTTAATTGAATAATTCTACAAAATCATTTAAAATTCTTTTTGTATTATTTATTGATGCTTTTTTATAAATTCAAGAATAGTTATTAAATTGCTTACCCAAAATTAATATCTTATTTGTTAATATCCTAATGATATTTTCTATCATTGTTTGTCTTAGTTCTAAAACTTATTAAGCAATCCCAATTTATTAGCTTAACATTGCTTACCATTTTTCAGAATTAATTAAGATTTAACGAAACAAAAATTGTAAAACTGAAATGGATTTCATTTTAATACACTTTCTTCTATCTTACATTCTTTAAATCAACTATTTTAGATTTCTCACATATATTTATTCTCAAATTGATTTGCTCTGACATTCTGAACAATTAAGTAAATTTATATCATGATTAGAGAGATGATTGATTATAGAGAAGCCAAATTATCATAATTATAATTAATAATTCAATTTTAAAGTTTAAGAGGCTATAAGGTATTTAAATAAATCAAGATTAAAGTTTAGGTAGAATGTCAATAATGTTCTACAAATTTTATTCCTCCTCAATATATTATTTTTCTGAACAGTCTTAATTATAAATCAATCTATAAATTTTATTAGATTAATATCTTTAATGGACCTATTGCATTTGTTTTTCTAATTAGAGTACTCAGATTTTGCTCCATTACCAGCTGCTGATGCTAATGCAAAATTTTCTTAAAATGATCATTATATTTTAAGAGTAGCATCTATTATGTTTTGTTTATAGCTTCGTAATTTAATGGAGCACTTCTATCTTCAGCAAGAAAAACTATTTTTTGGCACCAGGTATTGAAAATAGCCGTTTAAGAAATTTACTGTATTACTACCCTCCAGATGTTCATTAAGGGCATGTTGTTGCCAGACTTGGCGAATCAATAATTTTGGAATTTTTATCAGCATACGAAATTAATACTGCAAGGTTTTTGGATGTGGGATATTGATGATAGATAAACAGACAGACAAGTATTAACAGTAGCACCTGACAGGATGACTGAAATAGTCATTTATGATGGTAATGCCCAAGCTAAAATATTACCAATTTTAAATCTTCTTTATGTTAATAATGTTAATAATTAAAAAAATATTTTTCACATATTTAGTTTTAATTAATATAAATTAATTTAAAAATGACTTTACATGTTGTAAAATTACGATAAATTGGTTTCTGAAATGAAATTTTATAACAGAGGAGGGAATAGTTTAGACCATTAACTTATGCCAATCATCAAAATATAAGCCTTTTATGCTTTTTGATTATATATATTCATTTATATAACAATAATTTTCTGTCATAGAAGAACTAGTTTAATTAAAAAAATTTCTAATTAGCATGTATGAATATATGATTATTTTTGATAAATAATATTAAATCAATTTTGAGAATCAAAAATATAAAATTGAGATTATTTGAATTCTGTTTAATAAACAATAGATTTAATTGACAATAGTGAAAAGTAAAATTAACTGAAAGTATTTCTGATGTTTTATGACAAAGCGGCAGCATATTTTTAAGAGTAAAAAAAGAGAATTTTGTCAACTCAGTCTGTTTCTCTCCTGATGGAAATACATTAGCTTCTGGTAGTAATGATAACTCTATCCGTCTATGGGAAATCAAAAACAAGTATTGTTCAGATTATAGATTTAAAGAAATTTAGGTTAAAAATACAAGATATCCTTTTTTTAACACCCTTTTGTAGTAAAAGAATATTATTTAAAATTTAGATACATCTAATATTATGGTTTACCCAAACTTCAATTTTTAATTTTTCAAGATTTAAGAGAGTTTTATATAAACAACCGTTTCCTTTTAGGAGAATTATTGGAGTAGCACTTGATTAATTTAAAAACTAACCTATGTTAACCCTTAATTTAAATCTATTTTAATATACTTCTTGTGTCCAATATTTGTTGATAGAGTTCTATTTTTTAGTTTTTTTCTTATTTAACAATCTTGAAGCATTTCTAATATGGAAATTAATTTAGCAAATTTTAAAATATTATGAAATAAAAATTTTAAGTTGCATGAATGCAATAATATTTTAAATATTTGTATACTATTTTTTTGGTATTATTCTTATCATAACCAAGCATTTTCTCTCAATTTATATTTAGAATGTGAATTTTATAAGATTTATAAAGTAGATTCTACAACTAAATCTTTCAGCATTTATCATTTCTAAGTTTTTTAATCTTCTTATTTCTTGAGAGTCATTATATTCAAATATTCACAAGATAATATTTTTCTCAACTCATATTTAATTAC